CCTTTTTATATATGCTAGCAAAATGGTGGTTCATTGTTAAAGCGAGAATTGAATTAGTCAACCAGAAGTGAACCTCTAATTGTTTCCAAATGCTTACTTTTTGGGTTTGGATGCAGCTTTAAGTCTTAGCTCAGTCAGGAATTTGCTAAGCTTGTCTTTTTTCCCTGTATCCTTTCATTATGGCTAGATAGATCCATGGTGAAATCTGGTTTATGATTCCCCTTTACAATAGTTAATCAAAAAAATGTGTACACAGAATTCTGAACTAAACACAATATTAAACAGCAAAAGTAGAGTTTCCATAGACTTTTTACATTTTTATAACCTTTGAAATTACTATGGAAATTGACCTTGGTTCTGAATTGAATATGGTCATGTGATTTAGCAAATACCTTCTTCCCCACCTTGCTACCCAACTTCATGACCTAGCTAGCTCCCACAGCTGGACATTATTTTAAAATTACTGTTGGAAAAATTAATGTGACACGTCCATGTGCTTTGGTAAAATGCTTGTTTCTCTTGAATGTGAACATTTTAATTCTACCTAAGCAGTCAACCATTTCAAATTCTATAGCAAAATCAGTAAAAACTTCAATTTGCCCTTCCTAAAAAAAATTCACTCTTGTTATTTTCTTATGTCAGTCAAAATATCTTTTAAATGCTTTAAAATAAATGTTTGCTGCTAACATTAATTTGACTAAAATGTATATCTGCATTATGGTTTTTGAATTGAACTTTACAATAAATTCCCTGTTAATTCTAATAATATTTAATCTGTCATAATGGAACATCTTCATTAAGTCTAGCCTCCTCAAACTAACAACCATTGTCAAAGTGAATTTTAGGAGAAAAGTTTGTCTTTTCCCACTGACCACTGTCTATAGACTTTTTCAATACTTAGGAATTCCTTTGAAGCAAGGTATCATGTATTATTTATCTTTTTATTTGCACTTCCTAGCACATGTTTGGCACATGGTAGGCATATAATAACTGCTTTGATGAACTCTTCACTAGAATTTTGAATTAAAAGATCTGGTCTTACTACTCTAGTTCTCCCACACATTAGCTGTGTTATTGTGCTCTAGACCTCCATTTCCACAACTCTAGAGTAAATTTCCATCTGGTTCTAAAAAATATGATGCCTAGTAAAACATACAGTAAGTAGTGCTTAATAATTGCTTACTTGTGTTAATTACTTGATAAAATTCATTTTAATTAACGGTGGAGTAAATCACTTTGCCACTATATTGCATCTCATTTGCTGAGGCTATCTTTTTATAATTATAAATTAGAATAATTGGAATAAACAACCCAGTATTCCTTGTGGTTTGACCTATTTTTTTCTTATTAAATGAAAAATAAGGCTGGGAAAAAATATCTAGATATTAATCCACTCTCTCATTTTATAGATGAGTTAACTGATGCTCCAGGACTATTTAATGGGAATATTAGGATCCAAGTATTAAGATTTCCATTCGAGTGCATTTTCCATCTCACATATATGCAGGCATTATTAGCAGTTGCTTGGGTTAATGATTGGAGAAGAAATGATCAAAATAGAGGCCTCCCTGGTGGTGCAAGGGGTTAAGACACAGTACTGTGAGGCTGTCCGCAGCCACTGCAGCACGAGTTCAACCCCCGGCCGGGGGGCTGCCCACATGGCGCAGCAGACCTCTCCTGATAGACTTCTCCTGACTCGTGCTACTCCCCTCAGCAGTGTATTTCAGTAGATCTGCCTGTTCTGTTTCCCACTGTCTCTGGTGAATCCTCTCACCAAAATAAACATATAGGAGGCATACAGAGAAAAAACTTTTCTTATTCGCAAGCAGTTTTAGGAAAACTTTTTTGTTTGCATCATTGTCTGAGAAATACATTAAAGAAAGCAGGAAAGCATAAAAATGATGTTTGGTATATAAAAATATTCTGTGACCTTTTCTGTTTGGTGAGAGATGAGAATGGAGAGGAAGAAGGAAAGAGCATGATGGTTGAACTGTAGCTTGCTAGTCTACCTTGATATTTCTCTCTACCTTTTTTTTATAAATGCAGGGACTCTTCTTCGATTCAATAACATCACAGTAGTTAGAAACAGACACTGTCCTTCAGATTAGATGAGAAATAACCAATATTCTTTCATTGTCAAAAATCCCCCCACCTCTGCTTGCTTTTTTTTTTTTTTTCCCCCTCTAACCTTACCATACATATCTCAGGTTTTTTGTAAAAGTACAGAAAAGACATTTCATACATTCTGGCAGGTACTTTGGGATCAGGAAATAGATCCTAAAAGGGATGACCCTAAAGTCATTTGAGACTTTAAAGGAATAGAAGTGAGATTAAAGGGCGGTTCAGGAACATACAGGCAGAGGTTACAGCATGATCAAAGCATGTCAGGAAGATACAGCAGAAGATAAAGTGTATGTATATTTATGTTTACAAAGTTTAAAATGTGAAGTAAGGATCAATAAGAGATGAAGCTAGACGAGTCTAAATTCAAAAATATACCATGTCAAAGAGCTTAATTTAATCTCATATAGTGTGGAACTTTTAACAGACTTTTTTTAACAGGAAGAAATAGGTTAAGTACTGGTTTTAGATAGTTTAAAGCTTTACAAAAAATGGTTCTATTAGCTTTACAAAATATGGTTGTATTAGTTATCTATGGATGTATAACAATTTATACAAAAACCTAGTAACTGAACATCACCTTATTATCTTACTGTGTGTCTTGGTTCAGGAACTGAAATTGAGCATAGCTAACTGGACTTCATAACTCAAGCTAGAGACCTTGGGGAACAACCAAGGTATCAGCCCATGTTTGTCATTCCCAGGTTCATTTGAGGGAGAATCTACTTCTAAGCTCATTGAAGCACTTGTAGATAGTATTGGTCTCCTTGGGGCTGTTGGACTGAGGGCTCCACTCCAGAGGTATCCCCCAGTTCCTTGCCACGTGGGCCTCTTTATAGGACAACTCACAGCATGGCAGCTATGAGTGAACTATGAAAGCCAGACTCCTTTTTTTTTTTTTTTTTTTAAAGATTTATTTATGCATACTAGAACTGGGGTACAGGCCAGAGTTGAGGGGGTGAAAAGATTCACCAGAGACAGAGTGGGGAACAGAACAGGAAGACCAACCAAAATACACTGCTGAGGGGAGCAGCAGGCAAGACAGGAGAGGCCCACTGTGCAATGTGGGTTTCTCCCTGGCCGGCCGGGGATCGAACTTGTGCTGCAGAGGCTGAGGACTGCTTCTTAGTGCTGTGCTTAACTCCTTGCGCCACCAGGGAGGCCCTGAAAGCCAGACTCCTTTTAACTTACTCTTAGAAGTGACATCTCATCACTTTTGTCGTCCTGTTAGAAGCAAGTCACTAGGTCCAGCCCACGCTTGAGGAAGGGATGACACAAGAGCATGAATACAAGGGAGGCAGTATTCATTGAGATCTTTCTTTAAAGCTGCTTATCACAGTGGATATGATGAGCAAAATGACCACGTAGGAGTCTTATAATAATCCAAGTGAAGATTATTATAGGCTTGTGCAGTAGAATGAAGAAGGGATGGAGTCGAGAAATTATTTATGATGTTAAATCATAAGAACTTAATGATTTAGAGGATGAGCTTTTAAGGGAGAAGAAGAAAATAGGGTTGCATGTAATTATTCTTAACTTATAAATAGCTATCTAAAAATTATTTTCATAGAATATGACCTTGGAGCTATTCACTTGGAGCTTTTCATCTTCTTTACTGCCATCTCCCTTACACTTTCAGTCATGTGGACTTTTCCTTTATGTTACTTCATTTTTTTCTAGTTAGATACCAGTTACTCTCTCAATATCTGTCTAATTTTCCTACTTGCCTCTGTTCGTATTGTAATCCCCCTTGTCCAAGTGCTTGTCACGGTGCACGTAAAATATGGGAATAGTCTCATAATTTTTCCCCCTAAGACTTTTCTTGTCTTTAATCCAGATTATAGAGAATCTGATTTTCAGCTCTCTGCCATTCATTTAACCAAGTGTTTATTGTGGGCCTCCTTGGTGACCAACACTTAGTAGGCCTCCCTGGGACTATAAAAGAAAGCCCTGGCTTAAACTTGCAAATGTAATGAAACGATTTCTTAACTTCCCTCTCAGTTGACTTAAACACTAGAGCAACACCTTATCCCCCTGATTCACTGGAATCACCTTTAAACTTTTGCAAAAAGCTAGGTGCCTGAACTTTCCCTCAAAGATTCTGATTCAGTATGTCAGAAATGAAAACAATACCCTGAAGTGAATTTGATGTGTAACTGGTTTAGAAAACTATTGCATTAGCATCACCCTCATTATTATACTATTGTTTTGTGTATATTTAATCATCCAAATCACCTGAAAACATAATTTCCAAATACTGATTGAAGGCTTTCTAAGTTAATATACAAACTTTTGTGCCTTATCCATAGGGCAGCTAGTTCACTAATCTGTGCTTCTATCCAAGTTTTTTTTTTTTTTTTTTTTTTTTTTTTAATGAAATAAGATTGATACGTAATCAGGCCAAAAAAATCTTGAGTGAGTGGACTAATAATAGACCACACACACATATATTAATGTTTTTGTATTTTCCTTAATATCACAAGTCATTTAAGTGCATATAACTATTTGGTAAATGTGAGGATCTAGTTTGTCATGATATTGTTCACAGATTATCTTGGAAATTTCTCCTCATTTGAAGTCATGTTTTAAATATGTTGAATGACTGCTATATTTAGATTTTTTGGGGTGTTCCAGTACTATTCATTATTATTATAATTTTAGTCTTTTCATACATTGATATATTTTATCTAGTTCTTTTACTTTGGATAATAACTTATTGATCCCATGAAAAATTTGGAATAGCAACTAGATTCTTTTTCCTTATGTTATTCTAATTAATCATATTATATTCTACTAGAAAATGGTATACTATTATTTTATTTCCAGATGAGGTTGTCAGATCATTATTTTGATAAATTTGTTTTGTTTCTATTCTTTAGTGTTATTCCTCTTTTAAGAGAGTCTGTTGGAATATTAATGCAAAGAACTCCTCCCCTGTTGGAAAATAATCTGCCTCAATGCTATCAGAGGGTAAGTTTTAATCTTCCAAACCATTGGGTTTTATATTGTTTCCAAACTATTAGGGTTTTTAACTTCTACAAATATGGGTAGCATGTGTGTATAATTTTGTATTTCTTCCAAGATAGAATGCTGACCACGACTGCCATTTATACAAACCAGAATATAATCATTGGAAAATATTGAATTGTACTAAAGAAAATGTGGTAGAAATTGTTCTTGTCTAGAAATTGAGCTTTTTTTTTTTTGAATTATAGATATGAATAGCAGATGATATAGGCATGTACTCAACATTTATTTTTTAGTTTCCACTTTGTGCCAGTTATTTCTCTAAGGTACTAGGGATGTAAAGGAAAACAAGGCAGACCCTGACTTTGTTTTAAAGGGCTTATTGTTTACTGGGGGAACAGAGGCACTAGTCAGTACATCAATAAATAAAAAAAAAAATCAGAGGTAATTGTTAAATAGAAAAAAGATGACATGGTAGGCATAGTCGGCTGCATTAGATTCATGGAGTAAGTCATATTCAGGGAAGTTGAAACCTTGATGATAAGAAGGAGCCAGCCATATAAAAATCCTGGAGAAGAGTATTCCAGGCAAAGAAAAATACTGATGCAAAAGTTCTATGATTGGAATTAATTTAGTGTGTTTGAAGAAGAGGGAAAAAGCCATTATGACTGAAACATAACAAATAAAAGGAAGAGGAGCTGGAAAGATGGGAGAGAATGGCAGGCAGGAGTCAGATCATATAAAGATTTTTGTCTTACAAGAGGGTTATATTTGATTCTAATTCAATAAGGACCATTAGAAGGCTTCTGGCCAGGAAGCATATCATTAAACTTGTTTGTAAAGATTATTGCTCTTGCTATTAAACTAGAATACTTTGAATTCTAGGAAGAATGAAAGCAAAGAAAAGCAGGTATAAGCTGTTGTCCTTCCTTCTGGGTTCTTGGCTGAGATGTCCCTATAATAAAAAACAGATTAACAGGAGAAAAACAAACAAAAGTTTGGTTAACATGTATACCATCTGTTTACTTTGGAGAGACACAGAAAAACTGAGTAACTTGCTGAAATGGCTTAAGCCACCTCCTTCAGTAACTAAAGACAAAGTATGTTGGGGCAAAGGAGGGAGCGAGGGGGTGAAAGGAAAAAGGTCAGTTATGGGAGGTTACTGGAAGTCACAGTAAGCAAAGGTGTATTTGCTATACATATTTAATTTGCCATCATCTCCTTTAATAACAGAAATTTGATCGTCCCCTTCTTCAGCATACAGTGGAGTAGATACTTACAAATGGAGATTTGCCTTTATACATGCAAATATTTCTTTTAAAAGGGCATGCATGCACTCGGGTTTTCAGAGCTTTTCCTTTCCTGCTGTTTCTTGAAAATAACAAGTCTGCAAAATAATTCTCATGCAAAAGAGACACATTTTGGGGTGGAAAACTTTGCTCCTTGACAGTGGGGAAAAATTGTGGTTTGGACCACAGTGGTAGCAATGAGATGGAGCTAATTAGATATTTGGAATACATTTTTGAGCTAGATTATATTAGCAAAGGGGAGAGAAAGTGTTGACTGGTAAGTAGATAGATGCTAATACCCTCTTTGAGCTTGAGGCTGTGTTAATGGAGATTTGAGAATGGAAAATCCTCTCAATTCTGAAAGAGTTCTAGGCACATTGAAATTGAAATGCCCATTGTAACTCTAGAGGAAATATCATTTTAGTAGTTGTGTTAGCACTCAAGGTATCCCACACTGTTAAGGGGTGAATGCTCTAAGTAATAACTATCTGTGAACAAAGGCAAAGAAAGTAAACTTGTTGTGCAAAAAAAAAAAAAAAAAAATTAATGCAATTGTACAAAGAGAGAAGAAAGGATTTAAAATAATCATTTTCCAATTAAACTCCAAAAATTATTCATCCCTTTAGGGGCAAATGCCCAGCCAAACAGGCTTTGCCTGAATTAGCACCACTGAAGCCTGAAGGCTTGCCACAGTCTAAGATAGTCTGGCAAGGAACCACAAGAAAGAGGGTAGGCAAGTCGCAGAGAACTGGTGCAGGAGAGACTGAAAATTCAAAATGTATCACATATGCCAACATGAGGTCAATGTAACACTTCCATTATCTCTGCCAAGGTCTAGGAGCAGTTTCCCTATGACTCTTCCACTAATGTGTCTCTTTCCTTAGTCTCTCTTCCAAGTGGCTCTCCCTGCATCCTTCAATCTGTTACAGGGCAGGGAGAGGGGCACCCCAAACCCCACAAACCTGCCTGCTCTAAATAGGTTCTGCCATCTGCCACATCAACACAAAACAAATGAGACTTTAGTGGGAAGGAACTTTAATGCAATTAGTGGACATACAGGAAAGGCAAAGAATATAGTTTAAAAATCAAGCACCCAAACTCACCCTTCCCCTCATGGGTAGAAGTCCACCCAAGCAGGATTGGCCCAGAGCAAGGCCCCAAAGCCTGCCACAAGTCTAAAGCATCTTCCAGTGGGGACCCATAGAAAAGGATCAGAAACAACCAGACCAGTCTGCAAGGAAAAGAGCAAAATCAAAATCAAGACAAAAACCGCCATTGTCACCACCCACTGGTGTCTCACCCACATCCGTGTCACCCAGTCCTCGACCAGAAGGCAAGCGCAGTTTCTTCACGTGTCTCTCTGCTCCGTGTACCTCCTCCAGGTCTCCTTCTGGCTCTCCATCCTGCTTCCTTACTTCCTCAGTCTTGTATTACGATTTTTCTGTATTTCCAAAAAGTCCATTTTGTCTAGGTTTTCAAATTTGTGTTTTTATTCATTATATGTGTGAAATATATACATATATGTATATATACTCACATATAATGAACACTTTATTGAACACTTACTTGGGTCAGGCATTGTTTTAGGTAGTGAGGCCACAGGACATAAACAAAAATAAATGTCTTTCTTTACTGATCTTAAGAATATGCTAGAGGAGACAGGCAATAAACAATATCAAGCATGTAAATAAATAATATAGTGTGTGACACTATGTACCAAAAAGTCAAACAAAACAGAGAAATGAAAACATGGGTATTTTAGTATAAGAGCAGAAGGGCTTACTAAGAAGATGACTTTTTTTTTTAAAGATGTATTTATTTTTATACAAGAACTGGGATACAGGTCAGAGGCGCGGGAGGGAGAGAGGATTTGCCAGAGACAGAGCAGGGAGCAGAACAGGCAGAAGGACCGAAGACACTGCTGAGGGGAGGAGCAGGCAAGGCAGGAGAAGTCTGCCGCGCCATGTGGGTTGGCTCCCTGGCCAGCCAGTAATCGAACCGTCGCTGCAGAGGCTGTGGACAGCTTCACAGGGCTGCGCTCAACCCACTGCACCACCGGGGAGGCCCCCGAGAAGATGACATTTGAGTAAAACCGAAACCAAGTGAACCATGCAGAAATCTGGACAGAAGGACACTGCAGGCAGAAATAGCATATCCCCTGAGTTAGGAGAGTGCCTGACTTTTCAAGGAATGCTAAGAATGCTGGTGTAACTGAGCAAGAGGGGACAAAGAGGGAGGACTAGGAGATCAGGAGAATAGGTCATAAAGGGCCATGTGACATGGGTCCACTAAGTCATTGTGAGCCCACTGGCTTTTATTCAGTAAGATGGGAAGCCACTGGAAAATTTTGAGGGAGTGGTACATCCTAACATAGCAGGGTCTCCCTCAATAGTGAGGGTAAATGAACGAGGTGTCAGAAAGACTGGAAACGAAGTTGACTTCAATGAAGCTGATAGCTAGGCAGATGATGAGAAGTGTTTGGCTTCTACTTAATCTCCATCAGAAATATGTCTTGTTAATGTTCACCTAAGCTGTGAAAGATTTAAGGAGCCAGTGGAAAAACTTAGAGACAACCCTCACTTTTCTATTGTTACATGATATGTAGGAGGTTATGTGTTGGACCTTAGTTCCTTGGGCCCTGGGGATACAAAGGTCCTTTTGCTTCTGACAGTTACACGTGGTGTAGAATTGTCCTGTCCAAAATAAACCCTCATTAGGAAACATTTATTCCTCTAGCTCATTATTTCAAAGAACTAGTTCTGTGATACTGTGAGTTCTCATTTTCTGAATTTCTGGATCATCAATTTCTCTATTCCTTCTTTCTTAAAGTTTGTTGTTATTTTTCTAGTGTCTTATTTGTATTTATACTTGTTTGCTGGTCAAAATATTTGGAAATGTGAATTTTCCTTTCAGCTGTGCCCTGCATATTTTGATGTGTTCATTCATGTTTCCCAAACACCCGTCATGGTCCTTGGCACATACTGGCTACTCACTAGGTATTTGCTAGTAAATTCAAATATCCCCCTCCATTTTTTTTAAACTGGACAGTAGAATCCATGTTTGTTGCTGTGTTGCACATATACTTGGGTATTACGTTAAATCTGTCCTTTATGTTGTAGGTGCAGCAGTTGCAAGGAGTTTATAATTTGCAAGAACAGCATTTCTGGACCTTATGTTCTGACGTTTATGTTGGGACCTTGAAGTTAGTGGTAGCACCTGATGCTGACGCCAGATGGATTTTAAGCCAAACACACAATATTTTTACTCAGGTATGACTTTTTACTAATTTCTTTTAAGGATCTTTGAATTTGTTACCTGTAAACTTTAAAAATATTTACTATTTAAAAATGTGTGCTATAAGGTAGGCATAAAAGTACTTTTTTTCCCAAGTACAGGGCCAAACTTGGGAGATCCTTATTTTGGCTGGTATTTTTAATGCTCATAGTCCTATTTTCCCATCATTGCACTGATCTGAGTTACTGTGAGAAAAGCTAGATTCTTCCTTACTATACACTTCTTATAAGACATGCTGTTTGATGGCAAAAATTCTAAAATAGCATTTGGAATAAGAATAATGACTTGTCAGTGGCTTTAGCTGGACTAAGTTAATGTTTTTGTGTGATAACAAAGCCATGTTTAACTCCTGTATGACTTAACAGCTCACTGTGCTATTAGATTTCTCTTAATTGTGTATTTGGAATCATAAGTTAGTGCATGCCTGCAACCAAATTATTTCAGTTAATTCTTGCCCCATCAAGAGTTGACATAGTCATGTGATTGATAATCGGAGTAAGGATGATTTTGCTATTCTGTATGTGTTGGGAGAATAAGAACATCATGTCAGTAACATCTAAGGAGGGAGAGAACACAATTTCTTTTTTCAGTCTAGTTTGCTGGAAATATTTGGTGAAAAAATCTAGATGTTGGGCCTCCCCGGTGGCGCAGCAGTTGAGCGCTGGGTTGCGAAGCTGCCCGCGGCCTCTGCGGCGCCGGTTCAATCCCCGGCTGCTCCCCGGCCACCGGAGGAGGGTCCCACATGGTGCGCAGACCTCTCCTGCCGCTCGCTGCTCCCCTCAGCAGTGTACTTCAGCCCTTCTGCCTGCTCTGCTCCCCGCTCTGGCTCTGGTGAATTCTCTCACCCTCCCGCGCTTCTGACTGTGCCCAGTGCATGTATAAACAAAAAACAAACAAATATAATAAATAAATAAATAAAAAAAAAAAAAAAATCTAGATGTCAACATGCCTGCCAAAATTATCTACTATTCAGATCTAATGAGGAATCTGATTCCAAACCTTAAAAATCTGTGCTTAAAAACTGACATGTGCCTCCTGGTGTGATGTAACAAAAAGTATATAACTTGGCCTGAGTGGTACCTTGCCAGAAGTGGATTATGTAGATCTCAGCATTAACAAACAACCAGACAAATCCAGCTTGTCAAAACTTGTACAGGGCTGTTACCCTGGATTGTTGTAAAGTGTCAGTGTCACTTTTCAAACCTCTCTCCAGCTCTGTGTCATACTCTGCACCCACTGGGCTATTTACTTTTCTGTGTGAGACAAAATCCTACTTTAATGTAAAGATCAATTCAGTTGTTAACTTTTTCTCTGCAAATGTGTATATGCTTACACATCATTTATGTGCTTGAGAGACTTGGACAACAAACCATAATATGCAGTTTAGTTAAATTCAGAACCTTAGCATAGATCAAATGTTTCTTCCTCTCTGATAAATAGAAATGTAGGATTAGGGTCCTTTAGGAGTAATTAATGAGGTAATCTTATGTAGGTGATAGCTAGAGTTAATACTACCAAAGTAATAAGTACTAGGACTACTTACTTAATCCAGAACTTTTAAGAATTAGGCCTCTCAATTAATACTATAATAACTGCAATCATAATGACTTTCATAGTGAAGCCTGCAACTTCTTCACATATGTCTGAATCTGCACAGCTCTTCTTTATTCTAGAAGCAAAATGAAAGCTCAGCTGACAATAACCTTGCTTTTCTCTGCTGTTTTTGTTAGATCTTATTCTCTCCTCTAACCTCAAGTTTTCTCCTGCTTATATATCCTTCCACCCTGATGGTTCAAGCTTCTGTTGACCTCTAGGATACCCCATGATCTCCTAGACTCTAGCACTTAGTCATAGTTTTCCTGCTGAGAAGGAATGTAGTTTCTTGGTTTAGAAATGCACAAAGCAGCTGGTCTGTGCTTAGGAATTGCTGAAGTTGTAATTGAAGTTGTGGAGAGAGGTTCTTCTGGTAACCCTAGAAATCTTGGCTTTTAAAATGGCTGAACTTGAAAGTTTATTCAGCTGCTGCTTTGGTTTTGGAAACTGTATTTGGTTTTTGAAAATTTTAAGCTCTGACAAATATTTTAAACCTGTTTTATCAGTTAAGATCAAGCCAACTTGATTTCATGCCTTGCCAGAGACTAGGCACTCTTTGTACTTTGCTGTGAAGATGGTTAAACCCATTTTTTTACCCCCGAGGGAGAGGTTATGTTATAGGACAGCCCCAATATTGAACGGGTTGCCTGGCTGTGGGTCCTCACCCGCAAGCTTAAAAGGGACTTATGAATACTCCACTACAGGCACACACAAAAGGTTAATAAAAGGTTTATTTACAAGGGAAAAGGAAATAAGGAAAATGTACAACTCAGGGAGAAAATAGGGAAATAAAGTCTTTAATGCGTCCTACCTGATCCACCGACCTGGAAACCCAAAGTCACTCCCAGAGCTGGCGGGACGCTGCGAGCTGGCGGAGAGCCAAAATGGGGGAACCCCCCCTAAGCCCACGTGTCTGGCTTTATACCAACCTGGCTGCTTAACCCCACCCTCAGGTCCCAGCCACCTTCCCTTTGGTGGTGATGGGATTTGGAGTTCCCAGTGTCTTTGGCTTTGGCCTGGTGTGGGGGTGGAGTCCACAAAGCCTGTATGGAATTAGCTTTAGGACATCCTTTTCCCCCTAACAGTTACTCTGCTGAAGTCTTTCATTCCAAACATTGAATGATTTAAAATTGTTTTGTCATCTTTTATTTTTGGTTCTGACATAAGCAAAAGTGAAATGTTTTATCAGTATAGTTTCCTTTTCTGTTTATCCTAGTAATGTGTATCTATATAAGTAAATCCCAGACCCTGCAGTAACATTTTCATTTCATAAAATAACACTTAAATTTAAAATTTTTTAAGTTGCATCTTATTCATAGATTCTACTTATTGAAGTTATTAAACTGAAATTGTTTAATTTTTTTAGAAAAAATTGTGCTTATGTTTTAGGTATATTTATCAAGCAACTGTAAACATTGGTGGCCTTAGTTCCAAAAGGCAAAAAGGGTTTTCTCATTAGTAAGCTATACTTTCTGGTTTTATGACCATTTTAAGTATCTAATAATTGATTTTTAAAAAAATTAGTTTTGGTTAAAAATTTGTTCATGTTGAAGTATATGTGAGGATAACTTTGAAGAGATCAACAAAAACTTGAGAATTATAATTTTCTATTTTGTTTATAAAATTGTAAACTTTGTCACTATTTTAGAACTGTGCACTAGGAATGTCTTTTTTAATTCTCACTTTCCATAGTTAGTAGTTACGCTTTAATGGTCAATGCAGTTAACTTCCTATGCATAAATATAAAACAATGCATGTGGAAGGATTTCTGTTGGCATGAAAAAATCTTCTCTCACAGATTTCTACCTCTTGCGTTAAGAAATGAGTTATTTGGCAATTTTGATGAATTAGAAAACACAGTTTTTATGTTTGGCATATGAACAGGAAGAGGGAGTGGGATAGTGGATTAGGAAGGCCATTTAATACTGTGTGTTTCTTGTTTAAAACTGGAGGATATCTGTTAATTTTTTATAGTTTACTTCACAATTATAACTATAACCTTAAACTTTTAAAATACGTTTTTTGTTAAAAGTATTGTTTGAAGAAAAATACAGACTGTGCTTGGTGTTCATTACCCTCCTGATCCCATAAACCACAAAAGACAGTTAAAGGCTAATACGTAATATTTGCTCTTTCTTTCATACTTTTCTGCCTATTTCTGTTATTAAGGCTTAAAGCCCCAGATATCTCCTTCAGCTTTTGGTGCTCCATTTTCTAGCCTCACAAGATGAGTTGACACTAATACCAAGGAAGGAACCAGAAAACCTCCTCACAAGCCCAAGTGGGAGTTTCCCCAAATTTCAGAAACTTCTCCTGTGTTCAGAATCCTTCCTGTCTCTTACCACATACCTCATCCAACCTAACATCTTCTGGCAGGTGAGAGGAGAGAGTAGGTAGGAGAAGGTATTTGCCCCTTTCTTGGTAGCTTTCTGATTTTCCGCGCATTCCATTTGCTTTTCCTTTTTGTAAGGGACTTAAATCTTTTATAAGTATTGATTTTACTTGTGTGCTCTGGAATAGTTTCTTACCAGTATTTCCAATTCCTTTGGTGATGTCCATCACCTCCTGAGGAGGTTGAGATGAACATAGAATGTAACCAACAAATTCCTAGGGTTACTGTTTTTATTTAATACACAGTTAAATGTTTGTTGGTTGGTTGCTAGTGGTGGAAATAATAACAGCAGCAGCAACTGGCCTTTGTTGAATGCCCACCAGGTTGTAAGGGACCTATCCCATCAACCCATCTGCACAAGACAAGTACGATTATACTCTGTTTACAGAAAAAGGAACTCGGAACAGTATTGTTCTCCACACATGATATTGTCGTACCCACTTGCTGTTTCACTTACTTAATTCTCACATGGAAGAGTCAAATTGTTTTTCAAGACTTCATTTAAGAACGAAGATTAATATTATATATCCTTAGTTAAAAACTGAAACAGCCATTTTTTTTAATCTTTGAGAAATTAGTAGAAAATACAAACTATAATTTTCTATAGCCATGTTTATTTTTCTAAATTTTTTACTTTTGATTTGTTTTCCTTTGCACAACAATGAATATTTATTGGGGATATTTTAAGTCAGTAGTCCAGGTTAACACTTATTTTCATAGAAGCTTATCTGTTTAACTAAATTGTCTTTTCAGTTTTAAAAAGTGTTGATTATGGTTTGTACATTATTCTCAGTATGAATATTATATGTTTTTTGCATTCTAAGGACAATCCCTCAGCCAGTTCTGATTCTTGGTGTCATCCCAGTGGTAGATATATGATAGAACCAACCACTGTTTTGATGTGCTGGAGTATTTGTCATGTTTTTGTGGTATGAATAAACTATATAGACAACCTAGTTTTCATTTAGGGAGTAGGTGACTTTCCACAGGATTCCTTGGAAATTCTACTTTGAAGGAAATTGAAAAGAGAAAATAGGAAACTCGAAAACTTGAAGCTGTCCCCATCAGGACAGATGGGTGAAGCAAAATGACTTTTTCTGCTATTAGACTGAGCTTTTATGTAAAGCTGTAGCCCCTGGGGGGAAAGATATCAGCTTCAGTAATTAACTCATGATTATGCAAGGATCAATTTACCTAGCCTCTGTTTTTCCTTTCTTTTTTATTGCCTTGGGCTACTTCATTTCTCATTACCGTCTTCACTGTAGTAGAGGTAAAATGGCAGAGATAATAGGAGCTTTTTTTTTTTGCCCATTTTACTTCTATGTATTTGCTAAAAGAGAAAGAAATTAAGATAATTCATTTAGGCAATAGTTGTTTTTTCTTAAGGTTAGACATACAACATTTTAGAGTTCTTAAGTATAGTTATTTCAAGAGCGACTGGATTGAGTAAACAAAACATAATTGCAATCAATCACGATAATTTCTTTTAATAGCTTTTTGTAGCATATGCAATTCTTATTCCCATGCTCCTTATAATTGTCCCTGGTATGTAGCAAGGATTTATTAAATATTTGTCAAATATTGGATGAATATATACTAATTTTGTGAGAAAGTAAGGTTGGTGTTCATCAGCAGTTTTAAAATGAGAAAAAATGGATTTGGCTTTAATTTTTAGCACAAAGTCTTGCAAATCCTAAGTTCTCTTCTTTCATAAAGAGAAGGTGCTATTAAATGCATTTCCCATGCATTTAAAGAGAGTTTTAATTTTGCCACAGCAAGGATTTTTTTTTCTTTAATGAGGCAAAGAACCTAAAAAGTTTCCTGTTTTGGTAAGCTCTTAGAGCATATTCAGAGTTTTCTTCCATTAGAATAGTTTCTAACTCTTCCTAAGCATTCATTAGTGCTGGGCCAGGGTTCTTCTACTTAGCGTTAGGAAAAAAATGCCATGCTAGAAATAACTGCAAGAAGGTAGTGTTCATATTTTATCTCCCACTCTGGTTTTTCCTTTCCATTAAATATTCTAATTTACCATTCATTCTAAGGTATTGACAAGAAAACACTTCTTGTAACTAATGCTTTTATTTTTTAATAGTTTTTATTTGAAAGAAGGAAATTATAACATTTCAATTTAACCAATGAATATGTATTATTCACTTACATTGCGCTGGGTAGTACTTGAGATTCTGGTAATTTGTGTTAGAATTATAAAATGTCTTCATCCAGCTTCCACCAATTAATCCCCCAGATTTTTTTTTTTTTTTTTTAAGATTTATTTAATTTATACAAGCACTGGGTACAGTCAGAAGCGCGGGAGGGTGAGAGAATTCACCAGAGCCAGAGCGGGGAGCAGAGCAGGCAGAAGGACCAAACGAAGCACACTGCTGAGGGGAGCAGCGGGCGGCAGGAGAGGTCTGCGCGCCATGTGGGACCCTCCTCTGGTGGCCGGGGAGCAGCCGGGGATCGAACCGGCGCTGCAGAGGCTGCGGGCAGCTTCGCAACCTAGCGCTCAACCGCTGTGCCACCGGGGAAGCCCTCCCCCAGATTTTTTTAATGGTCAATAATAGATTTCAAGTGAGGAGCTTTTATTTTGGATACACATTAGGAAAGGGGCAGCAACTATCCTGAGCCACACTCTAGCCTGAGAGCTGTGGGGTTCCTGGTTTTACGGGATTGGTAACCAAGGCAGGCTTGTGGGGGAGGGGGTGGGCAGAGTCACAGTGTATTTTAGCCTGGGCTACACTGGAGCCCAGTGGGTTACTTGTTCTTCTTTCATCAAATGTCTCATTAGCACCTTAAGTCTCCACCCAGGGGTGGGTATTTTAGCATGCTAATGAGTCCTCAGTGATGTCTGTGACAGCTTTCTGCTTTTGAGTCTGGTCAGCCATCAGGTTTCTGCTGGTTCTGGAGCCATTGCTGGAACGCAGGAAGTCTCTGGAGGGTGGAAGGCCTGTTTTTAACTTGTGCTTCTGTGTTTGGCTGAAATATGTTCTCCTGAGGGCCTCAATAACAGGAAGGTTAGTCAAGCAAGTCTAGGTCCCAAGTCTAGATCCCTGTTACAGCAGGGTGTGGAGGGATGCAGAAATGCTTTAACTTAGAATTACATTATGATGGGAGAACATAATATAGCAACACAGCAAAATACTGTTATATCAGAAGGTCTGAAATGTTATGGAGAGGAAGAACAGAGTAGGGAGATTGTGAGTGCTGAGGCAGTTTCCATATATCTACCTACCTACCTACCTATATATCTCTCATCATCTGACATACTACATTGTAGGGTAAATGAAGATAGACTTTTATGCCTTTGGGCTCTGTGTCTATCACCTGCAACCTTGATCTTGTTACCACAGAGGGCACTGGCGTGTGGGGCACCTGTGCCTGACTCTGGACACCTGAGCATGGCAGTGTGTACATGTGCAAGTGTGTGCACCTTAGCCTAGAGATCAGGGATATAAGGGTGGCGCTGCTACTCAGAGATGGCTACGGGAGTGCGGCTACGAGAGGAGGAATGACGGCTATGAAAGGAAGAGGCCACGAGAGAATGCCAGAGAGAGCCTAGAGAAAGCATAAAGATACACTGGGGCTTAAGTTGCTGGCTACCTGGTGGCGCAAGGGGTTAAGCACTGCACTATGAAGCAATCCGCAGCCTCTGCAGCACGAGTTTGATCCCCAGCCGGCCAGGGAGCTACCCACATGGTGCAACAGACCTCTCCTGACTCGCCTGCCGCTCCCCTCAGCAGTGTACTTTGGTCACTCTGCCTGTTCTGTTCCCCACTCTGTCTGGTGAATCTTCTCTCTCTCTCTCTCTCTCTCTCTCTCTCTCTCTCTCTCTCTCTCTCTCTCTCACACACACACACACACACATGCATACACACACATCTCTGGTCTGGTCTGTACCTCAGCTCTTGTATGCATAAATAAATAAATCTTTTTTAAAAAAAAAAAAACTGTGAAAATGATGCCAAGGGCTCCAAAATTCTCCTTCAAACTGCTAGAACCAACCATGAACATACCCAGCCTGGGATGGTTGCAAAACATTTACTTACTTACTTGTTTATCATCTCCCCTCACAATAGCATATAAACTCCATAAGGGCAAGGATATTTTTAACCTATTTGGTTCCCTCTTGTATTCTCAGCAGAGTGGCCCCCAAAATACAATAAATGCCCAGAAAGTTGTGTCAATCAATTGAATGCATTTAGATAGGGTGATCAGTGTAGGCCTCATTGATGTCTGAGTAGAGAAGGAATATGTTGTTTGACTGTCTCCAGAGACATTGTACCAGGCAGAAGGGCAGGTCTGACTGAAGCAGAGTGAAAAGGAGAGGAATAAGAGTGAGATCAGAGGGGTAATCAAGGACCAAATCTAGAGCGGATTTGTAGGTCATTTAAGAACTTGGGTTTGTAAGGGTTAAAGAAGGTAAACTGTTGTGGGGTTTGAGTAATGGAGTGGCATCTCTCCAGTTGCTCCACTGAAAACAGACCAAAGGAAGGCAAAGATAGAGATACTGGTAGCTTTGGTCAGGTGGTAGCAATGGACCAGGTAATATAACGTGGTCAGATTCTGGGTTTACATTATGTGAAGATAAAACAAACAGGTTTTTTGTTTTCTTAAAGATTTATTTATTTATTTATACAAGCACTGGGTACAGTCAGAAGCATGGGAGGGTGAGAGAATTCACCAGAGCCAGAGCCGGGAGCAGAACAGGCAGACTGACGAAATACACTGCTGAGGGGAGCAGCAGGCGCAGCAGGAGAGGTCTGTTGCACCATGTGGGACCCTCGCTGGTAGCCAGGAATGAAACCGGTGCTGAACAGGCTGCGGGCGCTGCCCAACGCTCAACCGCTGCGCCACTGGGGAGGCCCTAAAACAAACAGGTTTTGCTAATGGGTTGGGTGTGAGAGAAAGAAGGCTGTTTTAAGTTGCAACATTAAAGATGATACTGAGCTGTAGAAAACAGAATGGATGGGCTTAAGGGGGGGTGGGAGGCTAGTGTTCAGTTTGGCTGAGTTGTGATGCTTGTCAGACATCCAGGTGGTGCTGGTCAAGTAAATGGTGGGTGGGTGATAAATATAGCAACACATCTGTGGACATAGAAATGTGTGTATGTATAGATATACTGAAAGCCTCGCTGCTAGATGAGCTCATCTAAAGAGCAAGTGTAGAAAAGGATCTGAGAACTGAGCCTTTGGGTGTACAAAGATGGGGCGGAAAAGGGAAGGAAGAACCAGCAAAGGACTCGAGCAAGATTGTTAAGTAAAAAGGCAACCAGTGAGTTTTATCTGAAATCCAAGAGGGGAGAAAATGTTTCAGTTGGAGGGAGTGATCTCTTGTGTCCTTGTTGGTAAATTAAGTATTAAAATGAGGATTGATTATTGAGCCTTGGTCTGGGCGACTTGGAAGTGACCTTAACAGACATCTTTGGGAAGTGGTAGGTGGCAAAAGTTGGCTGAAATGGGTTCAAGAGAAAAGAGAGACAGCAAATAAGAAAACTTGATAACCAAGGAGAGATGGGAGCAATTTTAAGAGCAGTGTCTTTGAGTAGCAAGTTCATATCTAAAATTGAAAGGGTTGGAGTGTAAGAAAGTAACCAATAGATATTTAAGTGTTTACTAGCCTTTTATCACAGGAGGATTTAGACTGGGTATGATTTTAGTAGCAAAGCACTGTGGCGCTTTCTAGCAGGGTAATGGTAGATGGCTCACCTCATTTTTCTAAATATCACTTGGACAAAGTATGTGATTGGTAGCATGACTGGCTTCTGTAATGGTACATGAAGTATCTTTTGGAACTTATGGATATACTTGTTTCTAAAATAAAATTACTAGTGCTTTCTGATGAGAAATGGAGATTTCCCAGAAGTAGAATAGAAAAATAATTTCTGCCTCTCTCCAAAGAACGAGATTTTTTTCCTTCTATTTTTTTGAAACATATAGTCTGTTATTGACTTTATTGATTTCTAATTTTTCTTTTTTTAAACTTTTCAGGCTGGAGTGAGACAGCTTTATGTACAGATTGACTTCGCAGCCATGTAATGAATAAAAAGAAATTATGCTTTTTGGGGGACCTAATTTTTCTGGTACTGTACAATCCAAAACATTGTACCCAGCTTTTTAAAATAGAGAAATCATCACTACAACTCCCTAGTACCAAGTAGACCAGGTAGAGTCAGCCATTTGTACTCTGCCAGGACCTCACAACTAAGGGATCAGAATTAACAGGATCTTTCCTGGACTTCCGGCCTTGTCTTTTGTACACTTCCCTTCAAATCCTTTTCATTTCTGAGCTTTTATTCCAGGGTGTTGTTTTTTCCTTTTTTTTTTTTTTTTTTTTCCATTTTAAATGTGCCCTCACTCCCATCCCTCATCCTCGCCAGCAAGAAATTCAAATTGTAGGTTTCCGATCACCTGGAATGTCTTCACTGAAACTGCTGGAAACCACTACTTTCATTCCCACAAAACCAGTGTTATTCGAAAAAAATACACCAGAAATCTGTTTTATATGTAATGTCACAGTTTGTTGACGTTCTTCAGTATAATCATATGTTTGTAAAATTGTTTGTACCTTGCAAACTTATGAACCAAACCATATTGGGTTTTCAAAGTGCCTTTGTATCAGAAAATGTATGTGCCAGCATAGAATTGTACCATCACAGGTAATATGTGTTTTGTTTTTTTAATGGATATTCTGTAATCTGTAAAAAATAAGACTCTTGTTAGTAATGTATACAGGTTGTCTTTCATGTACTTCCAGCCTAGGGTTAGAGATGTGAAATTTTTCCTTTTATCAAAAATAAAATGTGTTATTTTGCTTTTGAAATCAGATTCAACTTTCACATTTTAGACTTTGTGGACTGTGCATTCAAACCTTTGCAAATGCATCTGTTATAAAGACAGTCGACTTCCTTAAATCATCCACTAAATTCCAAATTTCTATAAAGCCTAGTGTGTCTGTGAAAAGCGTTTCTCTCTCCTTGCTGTTTTTATGGATTTTATTAATAGAAAGAAAAAGCAGTGTAGACGAAAGGCAGAAATAGTTGTGACAATGTTATTTTTCTTTTTTATTCTTCAAAATGCCATGTCATGCAATTTGTTTTTCTGTGCAAATATTGCACAAATACATTTGCTTTCAGGAATCCTAAAGCAATCTTTTCATTGAATTCAAACTATTGAAGTTACGGAACAAATGTGGTAATATGGAACTCTTCTAACACAGGTATCTTAGAAATTAATAAGTTGATTTCTAGGTTCTTGTGTATTTGAAAAATAAAATTGCAATTTGAGATGACAAATGTTTTGAACATTCTACTCAAATGTTCTTGATGTTTTACAAAGAAATATTGATCTGCATAAACATCTCCCCATTGTACTTCATTTCATCACTGTGTATATTCCCTTTTAACTTTAAAAAAATGAAACTGTTGGGGAAAAACCCTGCAGTATGGAAATGATTGTTTAGAATGTAGGTTAATCATAAGCACCCTTTCACTGACAGGGCAGAAATCACTGTTAATTTCAAGCTATCTATTTCCCGACTTCCAACCTGCAATTTATGTACACCATATAAGGAAACTAGACCACTTTATGCTTTTCTAAACTCTTGCAGATTGTAGCGAACTGTGAACGTTCTTCCTTTTGCAGATTAAGTAGTGTTTTCAGAAGATTTCTACTTACTGCCAGACAATTCTAAAACTGAGAATTCCCATAGTAAAATTTACTTAAATAAATGAAACAAGTGTTGAGATATTTCAGGAGGAAAGTATAAAAAAATTACAAGTCCTGATAATGGTATTGTTTTTTCCTTATAAGTATAATAAGTCATTTGGGAGTTTGCAACCACTACCAAGCCTGATAGAACCCTGGAATGTTGCATGGGTTTTGGCATGTTAGAGAAAACAGCAAGTTAAGATGAAGGCAGGGATTTTGAATGTGTGCCTTTAAAAACTAATTATGTGTAATATTACTGATATTTCGTGTGGAAATAGTATTTGCACTGGCCTGTAAAGTTCAACAATGCAGTTTGAAGATCCAGTTCAGCCTTTCACTGAGCAGCCCTCCATTCAAAGTGAAGCTTTTGTCAAAAGATGCATCACTTTATCTTTGTATTCTCAAAACATAAGGGCATGAGTGTGTTTTTGTAGCATGTATAGAGTACTTGGCTGATGGAACTCTAATTTTGTCACTGTTATAGGAGATTGCTAATTTATATCATTTAGCAGGTTGGCATTAACATTTATGCTTTAGTTAAATGTTCTTAATTAAGCCTGTGTCTGCAGCAGTAAAAAATTGGAGAAAAATGTTACTTTTTTTCTCACTCTTAGGATATACTTTTGTTACATTCAAGTTCTTGGCACAAATGTACTGCTAAAACACATGGTTTCAATGAGAAATACTATGTGATTATTGCTATAAAATAAATCTAGAATGTCCCTGCTGGTCTAACTTGTCAAAAAAAAAAGTATAATTTTGCTCATATTTTAAAAAATAAAATATTCTCTGGAGAACACATTTCTTATTGCTCAGGGTAAGTTTACCTTGCCAAGTAAATTTCCCCAAAGAGAAATATATCTATTTATTTGTGTGTTTTTAAGTCTGGATTTTATGAATCAAGATGAAAGGGCTTAAAATATGTACAACTTCCTTATTTTGCTGCCTCTCTGTGTACCTTTATGAAAGACAGTGTCTAATTAATCTATAGCTCAGTGTTACTCTGTCATTTGCATAAGCATGAGTGGTAACATGTTACTGGCATTGTGATTTTCCTTCTTTTAAGAATACTTCAGCATTTTTCAAAGCCTACACTTACAAACCAGTTACCAAAATACTGTGACTTTGTGTATCCTTGGAAAGCAGCTAAATCATTGATTCCAAATCAGCTGGTCATAGTTCTATAATGTCTTATCTACTTAGAATAAGCCATTTTATAGTGATTGTTAATGTGGTAGCATCCTGTTATATAATAGTGGGCTTTAAGAACAAAAATATTTCCTTGCCTAACATAGAATTTTACATCTAAGGAGACTGCTTTACATCAAAGCAGTTTTGTTCTACCTCTCATTTTACTGATGAGAAAATTGAAGTCCAGAAAAGCTGTCATTTACTCAAGGTCACCGAGATAATTAGTGGCAGAGCCAAAATTAGAATCCAGATCTTCTGAATCCAAGTGGAAAGTTCTTTCTACTCTACTATGTTGCCTCTCCCATGTAGTATTTGCCTTTCTGTAAATGTGACAAAAAGCATTTGTAAATAAAGGACAGCTGACCTCCATTTTTGGTATACTAAGGCACTTTACAAATGGATTTTTATTGTCTCATTTCTCATATCTAATTATGAGGCTTAGCATATTCCATAATCTTTATGGAAGATGTAATTTTTATACTCTTTTTTTTTTTTAACATTTTTACCCTTGTGAAAAGTTCCTGTTTTTTTTTTTTTTTTAAATGATGACTTCTGTGCATTGAATACTTATAACCTGAGTGATTTTTTTTTTTTCTTCTGTTAATTGCCCAAGGCTAAATCCAATTTACGGATTGCATAGTTTCTTTATTTTGTTTAAATTCTGTGAACAAGTACTTTTTTAGAAACCAGGCTAATTCACAGGTCATACCATTTCAGTTTTGCTACTGTAGTTTTCAGTCACTGGAGAATTTTTTCGTTTCTAAGATTATCTGCAGAGCCATGTAAAATTGGGCATTAAGTGTTAAAAAGAACAAATCTTTTAATTCAGCAGAGTAAAATTTGAAGTCTTTACAGAATCCCAGATGCTAAATGTGCGACTTTCAGTTTTTCATAAGAGCATTACCTTGAGAAAGTAAACTTTTTTCTTTGTCATAATTTTTAAAACAAATTATTTTCCAATTTACAAGAAGTTTGGCAAAAAGGGAAATTATTTCTTTGAAAAGCATTCATTAAGAGTTCCTTCAATGGAAGATTGTTTCAAAATCCGATTCCCCTCAAAGCCTTTGTGATCCAGATCTCTACCATAGACTCAAGATTAAATACAATGACGAATTACGTATCAAGAAAGTATTTGCAGAGTAGTTCCATGTAAAGGCCAAGTAAATGTAATTCTTTTTGATGAGGGCATCTTTGGTTTCTGTTGAACATTTCCTAATTCCAAATTACATGGAAAAATGGGGTTTATTAACCTTTATTAAGTATGTGCCAGGCTTTGTATGACCTTTTTCATGTTACCACATTTAAAATCCTCCTTATTTCTATAAAGAATTTTGCATGATTTTATAATTGACAAGGCATTTTCAAACACATTTTCTCTTCTGGTTTTCCTTTTATCCTTTTGAAGAAGGAACTTCTAACCCTATTTAAGAGATGATGACACTGATGGGAGAGAATTTAAATGATTTGCCTAGGGGAGAGCCAGCAGTAGAGCACAGACTTAATCTAGCACATTTTTTGAGGACTGTTCTGTTTTCTAAGTCATTCTACAATGATTTAAAGCTCTGATAAGTTGTAGCCAATTCGCCTGTAACATCAGTGAATGATCACCATGACAGAATTGATATGGGAGAACAGTTATTATTTATATTGTTTAGATTTATTTTTTCAGTGCTCTTTATGCTTATTTCCTACCTTTACCCTTTGAACTTAAATTGTGCAAGCTAAAAAGAGCAATCAGACTCCTAATGCACTTTTTTTTTAAGTAGCAAGTTTTATTAATACAGAGTCTCAAGCTGCTTAAAAGGGACTGACTCAAAAGATAGAGAAACAACTCCTGGCCAAAAGATAGTAACTAAGTTTATTAAGGAGTTGTCTTCTAAGAAATAAAAATAATTTTATGCTATATGAGAGATTATAGGATTTGACTGACATAGATATTTTTGCAAAAGGAAGAAGTCTGTACTTAATGTCTGACTGAACTCTTACCGTGACTGAAGATATAATTTTGATCATGATGTTATCAAGATTGTTTAAAAAAAAAAGTATTTGTTTCATGCATTCCCTTATCCTAAAATAGCATGAATTTATATTACATGCTTGACAAATGTTTGGTTAACTATTGAGTAAATGTTGTAGTTAGTAGTGGATACAAACATAAGCGTTGGGGACAGGTAAAACCAATAATTTGCAATTTGTTACAGAAGACATCTCAGCTTTTCTTTGGCATTTTTGCACAAATAGGGGACTTTTTGGTCTGTCTTTCTTTTCAAGTAGCCCTGTGAGCTAGTCATTCATTTTAATACAGTAACAATGGAGGTATAGAGATGCTTGCATGTTGGACAGGATTTTGGCAGAGCTGGGTCTGTGGGACCTGGTCACTTGAATTTTTGTATTCTGTATATCTCAGTGAGGAACCACATTATCTCCTATTTCTAGGGAAAATTGCCATACTTGTATTACTTTAAAGACCTCTGTATAACATGTCTTGTCATTGAACCCCAGGTAATTGTCATCTTAAGCCCACAGTTATTTCTTGAAGGTGCTTCTATTAAAAAAAAAAAAAAAAAAAAACACTATCTGTAAGTGATTTAAAATATCCCAGGATAGTTTGCTTTTTTTCTTTTTCCCCTCTAAATACTAAATGTTAGTGGAACTTTGCTATATTTATTGACTTATATTTTATCTTTACATTGCTGCTGCCACTGTAAAACTTTTCCCATTTTATTAGTGGAGGACAAAAGCTTGATTTTGAATTTTAACATTTGAATTGTGTTTATAATGCATCATTTAGCTTCACTGAAGATTCTATAATTAGCTAGATATATCCTTTTAAGAGTTCACCAAGTAATCCATTTCTTCAGGTAATAACATCAAATTCAGTGACATTTCTGCCTGAGTGATATTTTGCCCCAACATTTGTAAGTTTGACCAATAAACAGAATGAATCTTTAATATCAGAAATACTGTGAATGAAAATTGCCAAATGACTTAGTATATTCTAACATCACTACAACACTTTACCTCCCTGTCTTTAATGGTTTCTAATAATATGACCAAGTTGAATTGAGCTTGATTCCTTTGAAGAAGATTGTGGAGAAGGCTGGGTTGGAATGTCAAATTCCAAAGACTGTTATAAGTTGGTTTGAAAATGCTAAGTGAAAAATTATGATTTGCCTAAGTAAAATACAACAAATCCATATGTATATTTCACTTTTTTCTACTTGAAAACATGTATATATTTTGTTTAATCTCAGATGTATTTAAAAGAGTAAAAAACAATTGTATCAAAATTCTTCAATAAAATTTCTGTTTAAAATTTTTTACTTGAATGTGTCTGTCACTTTGATGTGTTGGAAAAAGACTGTGAGCTTGACAGTTATTGGAGTAGATTCTAAAGGATTTACGAAGGAAAGGGAAAGAACGATATTCAAGGGCAGAAAACAGCAAAATTCATCAGAATAGCAGAGATGCTAGAAGGTTAGAAATAACACTGTCCAGCTTCTCACTGCAGCTTTTATTATTTTACCTCATGAACACATCTCAATGAATTTATTTTCAGATACTTCCGTTGATTAATGGAAGTAATCAATCCCAAACTGCTCTCTCAACTCATTCTCTGATGACTTCAGTTTATAGGAAATGAAGACAGACAGCATCTGACACAAGCCTCCTTTATCGTTCTACCTTTTCCCCTTTTATCAGAAGCAATTCTTTAAAATAACAGCTACAAAACCCGAGATCCCACTCCCCCACCTTCTCAAACATATTCTTACCTCTTGTCTATGAACACTTGCCACACAATAAAAGCTTTATTCCCGGTGTCTATCGTCAGACACTATGTATGTGGTGTACGTGTGCTGCTTCCACCTCTTTTCAAACCATTTCCAAAGATCCTAGTAATAGGCTTTACTCTTCTCTGTTCCTTAGAAGTTAATAATCAAAGGCCACCAATGGCTTCTTATCAATATAGGACAGAACTACCAGCATCTCAAATGCAACAGAGAGAAAATATATTTATCTTTCGTATTCAAATCTCTTCTCAACTACTAATCGCTGTCAGAGTTCTTTACAAACTTACTAGAAATCTAAACGGTGCTTTTGCTACTTCTATTTCCTGAATCCCCTTTCACAAAAGTCCTTTTCTTTATTCTTGGAAATCTTGGAAAGTTTACCTTTTCCCACTGTCCTTTTTTTCCACGACTTCATTGTTGCCTGAATGCAGATTGACTTTGAGGAAATGTCTGGCTTTCCCTCTAGTCCATTCCCAGAGCTAGCCACCTTCCTTTCAACACCCCACCACCAATCCTAGCCCCACCCCCTACCAAAATAATTCAGACCTTCAGCAGGAAGTACAAGGAATTTCTGCTGAATCAGACTTTTGCCCAGGCCTTTTCAAAACATTTCCCTTACACAGGTTTCCTGACTACCTTCTGTTGGCCCTTCTGCGTATTGGTCTTTGACCTGCTAGATCTGGAGCACCTGCAAGGTCCTCCCTGCCTTTCCTGTGTTCTCTGGAGTTAGCCTGTGGCCTGATTGAAGTCTACAGTGACCTATCGTCACCCCTTTCCAGAAGCCTTTCTGTTTACATATAGATTGAAGCCAGTTATATCCTATACCTCCTCCTTACCCAGTCTTACCTTATCTAGAGTTTTGCTTCCTTCTCCCCACAAGCCACCCTGTGGTAAATAAACTGATAGAATAAGTAAACTCCTCAATTTCTACTTTTAGTTCTCCAGCTCAGGAATCTTGAATAGCTTAATGAGCTCTAGGGCTCATCAAAGACACATTCCTCTGAACAACTTTAGAATCTCATGTTTTTTCTCCTCTCACTCAATCTCATTATCCATGCTGTGGCACTAAATAAACTTTTCATTAAGCTCGACTAGAGAAACGGCAGAATGGGGAGGAGCAAGCAGGTCCAATAGATAGATGCAGATAGAATGACAGCAATTTAGCATTTTCATTTTATAAAAACAGAGAATCGTATTCTAATGAGATTCTAGTTCATTCAAACATCTGCCAGCTCATTTAACTACTTCCAGGCTTAAAATTAATCTACCATGAAGTTCAGACTTAGCACATGCTACCAACATTTAATTGTACAATTCAGCATTAACTGCTAAATTCTTAAAATGAAGAGGACTAAAATGATAACAGTAAGATAATACTCAAATGCATTATGTCTGGCATAGTTTTATGTAATTTATCTTTTTAAATGATGAATTAGCTTTTAATATGAAGTTTAGCTCCTCTTTGAAAAATGGTTCTGTGTAGATTGTTAAAGTGAAGTATATTCTTTTTGTAGCACAGTCACTGCTAAAGCCAAAGGATTAAAAACAAAACAATACAATAAAATACCAACTCTAAAGTGTTTTCCAAATACAGACTAGTATTTTAAAAAGGGCGACGCTGCGTAAGTAAATTTAGTAAATAGGAAATTCAAATGTACATCTAAGGTATAGTTTCATAGCAATTAGAACTCTGCCATTAGGCTTAAACTTTTGAAAATACTACAACCACTTCTAAAATTATAAATAAAATAACATCTGTCTGATTTGCCATCATCAAGCCACTAAGTTAGCTCAGACTTATTCAACTTCATAGGGATTATCTTTCCTGTGTGTTCATCATACTACTTCTCCTTAATACTTTGTACACAAGTCATATTATTTTGTACAGAACCTCAGAGCAAGGCAAAGTTACTGCATTTGTAGTCATATTAATTGGAGCCAATTTCCCACTGACTTCCAACATGGAGAGGTAAAGATGTATCCCTGAAATTTATATAACATGGTAATCAATAAAATTTTGTTAAAAAAAATACTGTACTATGAAGTGTTGACAAAGAACAATGGGGACTGTTATAATGTTGGTGGGAATTCTAAATGATACTTCAGAAATCATGTTGGCAGTTTATTAAAAATTTTATTTATATTTACCATATGGCCCGTTGATCTACTCTAGAGAAATAAACCTTATGTTCACACAAAAATCTGTATGTGAATGTTTAAAAAACTATACCAAATGCTAGAAGGGAACAGCCATTTGTGATTGGATAAACAAACTGTAGTGTATCTATATAACCAATAGTGACTGGATAAACATCTATAGTTTATCTATACAAAAGAACACTGCTACTATTTATAATAGCCAAGATACATAAGCAAACCAAGTGCCGAACAGTGGATGATTGGATAAAGATGGGATATTAAAATGAACATGGATGGACTAAATAAGTCAGAAGGAGAAAGAAATAATACAGAATTTCACTCACTGGGGGAATAGAAAGAAACAAAAAAAGAAACCCCAAACTTAGAGTCTGTTAACAAAATGGTGGTTACCTGAGCCAAAGAGTCAGGGGACTAAGCCACAGGGGCCAAATAATTGGTGGTAGGTGGTGACGGACATTTAGAAGTGATTGTAGAGTGACATACAGGCTCTAAGCCTGTGCTACTCAATAAAAAAAAATTGACAGTGGTCTCTTAACAGCATGAAAAATGAAATTTTTATACTTGATTTTTTATGCTTTTCATTACATTAAATTCCTTGTCCTTAGTTTTTACATAAATCCGCAAATGTAGGCAGTCTTTATTATTCATATGTTGTCATTCTAGGGATTTGTTGCAAAGCCCAAAGTGCTGATCAAATCCTTCTGACTTGCTGAGATTCAAACTTAAAGCTTGCAATGAAGAGCAATAATCTCTGCTCAGCTTTTCCAGCCTTCCAGCTATTTGATTTTCCACTAACTTTGTTTCAAGTTTTCCCTTCAGATGTACACTGTGGGAGTTAGCCAAAGATTTAAGGTATTACATGTCTCCGTGCCACCTTCATTTCTAGAATTTCATCCTTCATTTCCTCTAGCAGCCCCCCAATTCCTCTAATACCTCAAACACGTCAGACTCTAACTCTTGACTTCTAGACATCTCTTGCGAGTCAGCCTGGGGAATGCTCTGAGGGGAAAAGTCATATTAGCAAGTTCTCAGATTGCTTTGGCTTGGTTACTTCCCAGTGCTTTTGGACAGATATTTATTATGTTTTTTCCCCACAGTTTATAATTGGGAGGGTTTGTACATGACAAGCTATTCCACTACTACTAAATCTGGAAGTCCTTCATTTTATAAATCTTAAATGCTTGGTTTAATGACTAAGAAGGAAACAATGCAGAACCACTACTTAAATGCCCTTAGGTCTCCTTTTGTGTCCAAGAGATTGAACATGGAATGTTTCACATATATTTAAATATCCTTTATCTCAAATGAAATTAAATGTGTCAAACTAATCTCGTTAACTGATGCTTCCAGGAAATAGGGAAATACTTGTTCAACAAATTTACTGAACAAAGATAAGTTGATTAGACCTTGGAAATACTCACTGAGATCTACTAAACTCACATGTAGCAAAGTTCTTTCTGTTATGAACTAACAGTATAAAACACCAGGGTCATGAAACATAACAAATGAAGTGTTATTTAGAACTAGTAAGAAGAATGTGATGACTTGTATACACATACATATATATATATATATATATGTGTACATATATAGTGGCATGTTAACTAAGTAGGATGAAAAATCTTGAGTAATCTGTTGTCTTCAAGTTTAAATTTTTTTAAATTGTGTAATCAGCAAGTTTTGTACTTATCAGCTTGAATGTGAAAATGCTATTTAAAAACAAATGGTAACTGTATATGGCTGATGGAATATTCATAATTCAACAATTATATAACCTCCAAAATACAGCAGATCATGAGCCACATAATTAGGATGTCAGTCCAATAAAACAAAGAAATTCAGAAGAACATCATTTGATGGCATGTGCTCAGGGGAGCTTCAAGAGCTCCTGGGGGGTGCGGGGGTGGGACTTACTCCTCCCACCACGTAGATTCACATTCATACTTACTGCTGCCTGAGCAACCCATCTTGCAGTCAAGAAGGTTCCTGACTTTTTTTTTACAAAGAATAGTTTCACCTTGCATAAACTGGTTTCATAAGCAAAAATTGCTTTTTCACAACTCTGTCTAGGGATGTCTGTTTACAAGTTCTCTAGCTTGACATGTCTCATATGTGTTCTTCCTGAAAGACAGCCAGAAGAGCAGCAGCAACTGAATGTATCCCAGGGAAAAACTCTGCGACCAGAAAACAAAGAATTGCTGAGTCAACATCTTCTTGGTCACTTATTTTATACTTATTTAGTAAACCAAAAAACCCCATGCATTTGTTATACAAATATGTCTGTGCATACACAGAAGGAAATGTCTATGTTCAGAGTCCATCAGTGCTCTGGGATTCTGAGCTATTTTCTGATACGGAAAATAGACTTAGCATCTCCATTTCCAGCGGATGCATGCTGCCTCCTGTGATAATCAAGGAATGCAGTGGTCCTCCCAAGTCCACAGTACACATTTGTTGCAAAGTGCCTGCTGCGATTTTCTGGTCCTCAGCTCCAACCCTGGCTAAGCCAACACAGAGTGTTTCTTCGGTGATTGCTGTTTTAAAAAAAAGGTAAGATAGTGCCATTCAGTTCAGCAAATGCATTATCATGTTTAACATTCAAACTAACAGTAGTACCAAAAGTACATTTAAATAAGCCCTAAATATATTAAGTCCCCTTAGTCACTCATTATGAACTTTATTTATTTCACCAAGGTTTTTATTTTTTTTTCTTCAAAGATTGATTTATGCATACAAGAAGGCCAGAGGTGTGGGGGTCTGAAAGGACCCACCAGAGACAGAGCAGGGAACAGAACAGGCGGATTGACTGAAGTACACTGCTGAGAGGAGCAGCAGGCGAGACACAAGAGGTCTGCTGCGCCATGTGGGTTGCTCCCGCCTCATAGGTTGCATCCTAAACCCCTGCGCCACCAAGGAGGCCCCTAACTGAGATTTTCAAATGTTTTGCTATAGCTGGCATATAAAGTAGTACTTCCCAATTTGGCTCTTTCAAAATTCCAAAGGTTTAGCATAGTTTAAGATCTTACAATTGATAAACAATAACCTATATCCAATACTTTATGATTGCATACCATTTGTCTTCAAACAGATTCAGAATGAATAATATTTATTATTATAAGTTTATTTTTTAATGGATTTCTTGAAATATGTTCACATCGACCAAGATATACCAGAAAAACCATGATGTTATGAAATATTAATACCTAAATTTGACTTTCTGCTTCATTACTAAATAAGCATATGACAAATTTAAATTTTTTCATTTTTTAAAATGGAATAATATCTTTCTTAAACAGCAATTTCAAGGGGTAAGAGAACAGATATGAACTTAGTAGACTCTAGGGCTCTTATCAATGTTGGTAATTTTGACACTCCTTATGCTTTTAAGTTCAAAATTACCAACATTAATGAACTTTAACAATATTTACTCTGGGTCAAAACCCTTTCTGGCTTTCTTGTTTAGTTGAGAAATTTGTCCTAAGTGAACAATGTTCAAAATGGGGTAAATGATAATATGAAGGGAAGCAGGCACCCCAGGAGCTCTGCACAGTTACAGATATAGGGCACCCTCGCTGACTGTCTCATGACTTTAATAAGGTGCACCAAAGAGAGTCAACTAAGCAGCAGTCACTCAAGATCTCTGTGCATCTTTTCTATCAAGGGTAGATATTGAAAGGCAGTCAGCACTTAGAACATGGTAACAGGTTCATAGAAGAGTCTCTCATTAACTATTTACTGACAGTAACATTGTATTCTATGCCACATGCAGGATCTAGATATTAGGAATACAAGGATAAATCCTTGTGTTTTTATCCTGAAACAGGCTATTCCTGGTGTCCGTGTTGAGAGTAAGAAAAAGAATACATTTTTTGCAGGACAGAGGTCACCACAGATCTGGGCTAAAATAGAAGTTCTGTAATATCTACATATTAATCTATTTGCATCAAATCTGGTTTATAGTTTGTAAAAAATGCTCACTTTCTATAGTATCAGTTGGACTAGAAAGCCATTGTTCTTCCAGTATAACTTTCAGCATATGAGATTTAAGTTAATAAAGGGAAAAATTGACAAGAAAAAGTAATGTGAAACACTGAATTTTACTTCAGTGGTGTTCATGTGTGATGATGTATCAGATACACATCTCAGTGCAGCAGCAGGGGAGAATGAGAACTATTTTAGGGTCCCAAGTACCTGGTTCTTCTCCTTGTAGTCTTTGATTCTGAACAATTTCTAGAAGTTGCTGGGCTGCTTGGTTTACGCTCATATAACGAGGGGGTTCATAGATCTTCCTTCCCCTGTAAATACAAAACTAGATGCCATTGTGCCTAGCCATGAAATTATATAATACATTATTAATGCAATTACTCCCCTAGGTACACAGTCTACCTTCTGTTTGAAGCTTTCCCAAGATTCCTACTTTAAATATACACTCAAGCACAGATACAGTGATTGTTTATGTTTAGTTTCTCAAGCTTATTTCATTATTCTATTTCAACTGCTTATTGATCTTCCTGATATGTTGGGAGGAAGTAAAAGTCCAGTAACTTAAAGATAAATATCTAAACCAAAGTTACTTTCACCCAAAGTGTTATCTCAGGCAAAAAGCAGACTCAAAATAAGTGGAAATATATTCTATATCCTAGCTTACTCAAGCTCTGTAGTGCACATTTTTATTATCATGTTTAAACCACATAGTTCTCTTTGCATTTTTTCCTCTAAGAAAAAGTAAACTAATGCAATAATAACTCAGAATTTAAAAAAAAAAAAGCAGTAAATATCTAGAAATCTTGGAGGGTAAGATATATATAATTCTATATGCTCAGAAGTCTACCAGGTTTGCCCAAGGATCATAATAAAAAATATAACTTTGTAGCTTATAAAAAGTTTATGTAGATTATTTTACTCTCAACAATTTTCTAAGTCAGCTCTGTCCAACAGAAATATAATGCAAACTACAAACATGATTTTATATTTTTTAGTAGCTATATTAACAAAAGTGAAAAAGACAAAATTAATTTTAATATATTTTATTCCAACCAACAGATTCAATATATCCAAAAGACTGTATGTCAACATTTATTCCTATAAAAAAAATTTTAAAAATTGTTTTTGTTTTAAATCTTTGAAATTTGAAATCTGGTATGTATTTTATAATCATAGCACATATTAATTCAAACAAATTTCCATTGGAAACACTTGATCCGTATTTAGATGTCATAAAATTTATAGTTGTAAAAATAGATTCATATATTGAAGTTTTTCTAAATATTCTCAAAAGTTTTCTAATAATTAAGTTGAAAAATAGTTTGAAAGTAATTAAAATTAAATTGTAAATTCAGTTCCTCAGTTGCACTGGCCATATTTCATGTGCTCGTCAGTCACATGAAGCTAGTCTATTAGATACTGCCTCTCTAAGTAAAAAAGAATTAGTCCTCTCATTACATAAAGGGGGAAAATAAAACTGAAAAATGACAACTTGCTTAAGAGCATATAACCAGAGGCAAAGGTGGAACTCAAACATATGTCTTCTGATTCCTAGTGCATGTCACTGCACAAATACTGTGTCTATTAAGTGCCACTCACTATTCTCCCGATTATATCTATGAAATTTATTGCTATTTCTACTCTATCACACTGCTTATCATTTAAAAAGATTAAAAGCATTCATTCTGTTTTTAACTTAATAAAATTTGATTTTCAGCAATCTTTACAACAATGGCACTTAAATAGAATTTACTGAATTGAATTCTTCACGGTTTTAAAAGAAATCTAAGTATTCTCAGAACAAGAACTTACTTGATTAGATTTTCCATAGACTGCTCCTTTACTTTGATGTCTGTAGGAAGCAATAAATAGTTCTTTTTAATTTAATTAGCACTTTATCCAAAACCCTCTGGGTGAGGGCCTCCCCGGTGGCACAGCGGTTGAGCGCTGGGTTGCGAAGCTGCCCGCGGCCTCTGCGGCGCCAGTTCGATCCCCGGCTGCTCCCTGGCCACCGGAGGAGGGTCCCACATGGCGCGCAGACCTCTCCTGCCGCCCCTGCTCCCCTCAGCAGTGTACTTCGGTCCTTCTGCCTGCTCTGCTCCCCGCTCTGGCTCTGGTGAATTCTCCCACCCTCCCGTGCTTCTGACTGTACCCAGTGCATGTATAAACAAAAAACAAACAAGCAAACAAATAAATAAATAAAAAAAAAAAGCATGCCTCTATAAAAAAAAAAAAAAAAAATAAAAAAAAAAAAAAAACAAAAACAAAACCCTCTGGGTGAACTTCAGTTTCATTATCTAAATTTTGGGGGACTTCTTCACCAGTCTCCAAAATATCATTGGAGAGTTTGTGAGTCTTTCCTCACATATACATCTAGCCACTTTTTAATGGAAATACATAGAAGAATGGAAGTCTGTGTTTGTTTAAAGATCCTAAGTTAGAAAACAAGCTGAAGTCGGCCCTGAGACCATCCTGAAAGGACCTAATTTCCTCTTGGGAAAGAAGACACAGGAAAGAGTTAGATAAATATTGGCATATACACTACCTAACAGCTAATCAAAATCTTTGTATTCATTTCTACTAGCTGGTGACTGCATAAATCCAACTGAAAAGTCTTGATATGTTTCTATTCTTGTCTATTTTTTAGGCACCAGAATATAAGCTTCAACGTATGTAACATCAACAGATGAAATTCTTAGCACATTTTGAAAGGAACTTTTGCTTTCTTTGAATGGTAAGACATGACCTAATAACTTATGAATTAACACTTTAAAGCTAAATATATTTCTAAGAGGGCTGGCACTCCCTGCACATAGAGGGCTATCACAGCAGCAGAACACACGCAGTCTGCTCTCATGAAGCCTCACAGTTCAAGCATTGCAAATATTTGACACTTTACAATTTAATCATGGATGCTCAGCTGCACTATTAGTAAAAGGTAAAAAAGCAGGATCACTACATCCTCACAGGAACTCTGTTCACAACAGAAAGAGCAACAGCTGTTTCCTGTTCTACATGCTGAAAACAAGTGGTTCAGCCAAAGTTTGTTTATAAAAAAATAAATATAGTACAACGGAGGGGTCTTTCTGATAGACTTCAACAACTCTCCTATTAAGTGATTATAAAAGCTTTTCTTACAAAGGATACAAAACAGTTTGCTTGGAAAATATAGTAGAGATTAAACTCATACATGTATTTCTAAATATGCTTAGAACCAAAGGTGAAAGCATTTTTCCGCTTTGAAATATCATTATTTAATACTTTCACTTGTCCATCATATATAGGAAAAATTATCATCAGTCACTGAAAATGTGGTCTATGTTATGATTAATAATATAAGGCAACTTAGATTTCCTTTATATGATGTATTTGCATTTTTATAAGATTTTTTTAAAAGTCAACATACTCATCTCGATCTTCTGAAATTTGTGATAGTAAGCTTTTTATTTAATATTTTCAATATTTTTATTTTAAATGATATGCACTATAGAATCTGATTTTTAAAGATGGTTAGGGAGAATTTTTACAGGCAAATGCTTTTTAATCAAACAAGATTGCATTAGCGAATTAATCTCATCAGACCAATCTAAATAAAACTTTTTCTTGTCTTCACGCAGGGCATAATTATTTCTCTGTACCTCTACTTGCTAGAATATAAGTATCTCCTATACATCTTAGTACCAGGACCTAGCATAATGCAAAGAACCCGGTACTCAAGATGTTTACTGAGTAAATTTGCTCACATGATACTTTTACCATCTACCCCCCAGCTCATCTTAAATTGTTCTTTCCTTCAGTCGCTTAGGTCCCAACTCCTTCATAAACTTTTGACTTCCCTTCAAATGTTCTTTCTTTGAAATAGCTATACAATTAATGCTAAATTTTATTGATCTCTAATTATATCATATGTCAGTCTTGTCTTTCTAAGTAAACTTTAAATTCCCTGTAGTTTCCTACCATGATATATTCACACCAATCCCTACAGAGTTGGGCCCAAGGCAAGCTTCAATAAATACATACTAATTTAAATGACGAGACTTCCAAATGGCTAAATGATGCATTTGAGGATTAGGAATCATGGTATCTTATACTTCACACCTTCTTCCTGCTTTTGTTAATGGAACAAGGATGATATATTGTTTAACCTTGTTTGTCTTTTCCCAGGAAAGCAAAGAAAGGAGGCAGCTCTTAGAAAGGGAGCTTAGGAGCCAAAACTCTGGTTTGTCCTTCCTGCCTGTCCATACGATAGAACTTGATCTTTCAATTTGCATGTACATAGCATGATAGTTAAAAAGTATACTTCAAACCCTGAAGGCAGGACCCATGTCTAATATTTTCTTAGTATTCCAAAAGAATCTTCCTCCCCATTGAGCAAAGTGAACATTCAGTAAATATCTGCTAATTGATTTTCTAATTGCAGTTCCAAAACCTTCCTAGAAGATAAATGCCACTTTCTCTCCCATACCCCCATTTTTAATGGTTCTAAGAAGCCCTTACCTAGTAAGCATAAGGTATGCATGCCATTCTGTCTGTTTTTCTTCACTTTGTCAAAGAAGCTTTCTGGTCTCCAGGTGTCTGTCCAAAAAACAATAGAAACTGTCTCTCCAAACTTATACAACTGGAAAAAATAAAAGCATTAATTAATGATGGAAAAATTCACTAACTATAATTGCATAAATAACAACTGAAAGAAAAAGTGGGAATCAGACTTGACATGGGTGAGGGATAAAATCTGTTGCAACAGAGATAATGACATTTCTCTTTGGTGCCTAGTGGCTGGTGACTTTCTGAGGCCCTTCCAGTAGTAGGCTTCTAGTATTTCTTCATTGAGTATAGGAACATATGTAACCAAGTCATGATTTAGCTTTGTGGCTTCTAAAAATACTGAAATAAGTTCCCCAAAGACTTCTGAGTAGTCACAGCAGGGTTCACAAAGTTACTATTATAATCTTCATTTCAGAGGTGAAACCAAAGCTTAGAAAGATCAACACATTTGCCCACATTCAAACAACTAATTAGTAATGATAAAGAAACACAAATTTACGCTCAGGAAGTACTCCTTGGCACCATGCTACCTCAGTAAAATTTACACATTGGTGGCGCAAGGGGTTTAAGGTACAACCTATGAAGCTATCCACAGTCACTGCAGCAGGAGTTCGATCCCCAGCCAGGGAGCTGCCCACATGGCGCAACAGACCTCTCCTGACTCGCCCGCTGCTCCCCTTACCACTATATTTCAGTCAATCTGCCTGTTTTGTTCCCCACACACCTCTGGCCTGTACCCCCGTTCTTGTATGCATAAATAAATCTTTTTTTAAAAAAATTTACACATTGTATACTCACTCCAGCCTCTACTGTCTAACTTTAGCCCCTATTTTGTTCTCTCACTATAGAGTTCAATAATGAGGGTCTTTTCCTGAACCTTTCCCATCAAATGCACCCCCTCTCATCCATTCTATATGTAAGAAGCTTGCTTAGTTCAGGCTAGCTGCACAGTTCACTTAAGTGAGTCCAACTCCAAATCTCACACTGAAAAAATCTGGTCTCAAATTCTGGTTCTGCATTGTTAGCTATGTGACATTACTCTGGCTAAGTCTTTATCTCTGAAATGGGAATAGTGATAAAATACGCCCTTCCCACCCATAGGGTTGTGAGGATCAGATATGTAAAAAGTTCAAGTAAAAAATTACTGTGAACGGGCTCCCTGGCGGGGCAAGGAGTTGAGCCAGCGCTGTGAAGCTGTCTGTGGCCTCTGAGGCATGAGTTTAATCCCCAGCCAGGGAGCCACCCACATGGTGCAGCAGACCTCTCCTGACTCACCCACTGCTCCCCTCAGCAGTGTACTTCGGTCTATCTGCCTGTTCTGTTCCCCACTCTGTCTCTGGTGAATCCTCTCACCTCCCACACCTCTGGCCTGTACCCCAGTTCTTGTAATCATAAATAAATAAATCTAAAAAAAAACCAACCCACTAATGCCTTATAATTAATGAAACATAATAAAATCTACTTAGACCAAAATAAGTTATTTTGGTAAATCAAATTTAAAAAATACATTTCACTATAGTATTACCTGTAAACCGCAGCAGCCTATGGCATTCATTATGGAAGCATTGTGAATAACTCGGTAAGGGATTCCCAGTTTTGCTGCTCTCAGAATAAGATCACTGTGTGTTGTAGCCCTAGAGTGGAAAAAGAGCAGGTATGATTAAAGCAACCAGCACAGATTTTTTTAAGACAGTAAAGCTTAATATTTCATGAGTTCAATTCAATCAAAAGGTCAAGCCACTGCTTTTGGCTTCAAATTCTGCTAGGTGACTGTATGGGCTGTCATCTGGGCTTTTGGCAAGAAAAGTCTAAATCTACACATGTCCTTCCCAATGTTGAACTGCACCTGTACAATTCTTGAAGTAGCCTTGGCAGTTACAGGGAAAAAAAAGAGGTGTTTTACTTGCCTTTTCATCCTGTTAATACCTGCAAAAGAAATGCATGGAATAGAAACTCAGCAACTTGACTCTTGAGCAACAATTCTCAAACATTTTTGTTTGAGGTCCCTTTAAACTCTTAAAATGACTGAAGTTCTAAATTATAGTTCTAAATTATAGCACCTAGACCCACTCCTTGACTTCTGCTCTATTTCGAAGGTTTTATTTTTGTACTTTGAAATACAAAGCAGAATACAGAATATTTTAATAACCTGTCAACCTTTGTCTGTAATGTTAAATCCAATAGAATCCTGGTTGGACTTTACATCTATCTAGTAATCATGTGTACATGTTTTTAGTCTGGTTACACATAAGTGTAATGGTTATGTGTGTATATGTGTGCATCCTCTGTTTGTTTCTTTTCCTTATTTTTAAAGATGAATCTAATGATTATAATTAGATAGATTGGGGTAGAGAGAGAATATATGTAAATATAAATATGGATACTGTGAAACGTAATCACACATTCATTTAGAACTTCCTTATTAAAGGCTTTTTTTCCCTCTTGATGAAAACTCCAGGCTCTATTGGGGAAAGCTGCATTAGCATGTTTAAGAAACTACATACAAACAAGCAGGACCTGTCAACTGGTCAATGCATACCAAGTAGGAAGATCAAGGGCTTTCACCCCATGAGGCAGTCAGAAACAGATTAACAAATGCCCACCAGGGAAGCCTGTTTTTAATCACATACATAAAATAAAAACTAGTATGAAAAACAATCATTAATTTGATTTTGAGTAAGCTTTTTAAAAGTAATATGATTGCCAGCTGTAAAGAATGTTTTTAGCATGACCTTTGGTAGAATTTCACTACTTAACACTAAGATAAGGAAAATGAATTAGTTACTTGGTGAGTATTGTAAACAAATAAGCAGAAAAAAAATAATATGTTTAAAGTTACATCTCTCCTTACAAGTTCATTTAAGATAGCCAGATGTGGTCAGTATAGTGAAGATTTAATCACCTTGCAAAATGATTTGACTTTCTGAAACTTCCATAAATGTCATTTATTTTAAATAAAGTCCCTCAGATTTCTGCTATGATTGTGATAAAATTGGTATTTCATCATCACCAGTACCTAGATTATACTGCTTCATGAAAAAGAAGAAAGTGGTTTGAAACAAAGCCTTAAATCATTACCTGCAGCATTCTTTCCAGTGAGCAGTTCATGAAAATGTTTTATTTATGGTGATTGGAAAAGTATGTGTGTTTGAAGATGTATGGATTACTTTTTCCGGGCAAGTGGCTCACTCCAAAATATCTCTCTCTCACACACACGCACATGCACACGTACACAATTTTGGATAAAACCACATGCCCAGAAATAGTAACACATTTGTCTTTATAATATGCTTGTAACTTGGCATTGCTATGAAGGCAATTTCAAAAGAGGAGATTCAAAAATGTTTTGATCAATGGAATCAATAAAAATGAAGTACATAAAGGTGGTCAGTTTGAATATATAAGATCTGATATGCTTACTTAAAATTTGATTTTATAACATTAGCTTGTAGACATAGTACCACCACATTTGATAGAGGTAAAGGTAGTGATCTGGAAATTCATTAATATTTGCAGTGATTTATGGTGAAATCAATGTTCTTGTGAACTACTGGAAGCACGTGAACTGGTACAGTTTTAAGAAAAAAGCATGAGCAAAGATGTGGAGGATGAATACTGCAAAAACTATATATTCCAATGTTGGTCAATTTCACCCTAGCATAGTCAAAAAAATAATCAAAGGAAAAAATAGATACCATTAAAAAATTGTCATGAAAATTCACTGAGGGATTTTGAGCAGACAGTAACAGCATCAAGGTATTTTCTTTAGACCTCAGTTTTTTTTAATTTACATGGAATTCTCCCTTTCATCCTGGCCCCCTACCCCTACAGTCAGGTCAACCCCACCATCTCCAACTATTAAACTCTCCCTAGACCCTGTTCAGGCACCAAATCCTCCAAAAAGGCAAATTCTATTAATTCCACAATGCCTTTACATTCACACACACACTTTATGACCTCATATTATAATCAACTTTTCACCAGTATATCCAAGTTAGCCACTCCTTTCTGAAACATTCTCTTTTGCTGGCTTCTGTGATAACACTAACTTACTAGGTTTTTCTTCACCCATGGCACTTACTAGACCATGGACCATCAATTCCTATGGATTGATCCTAGATGGTCTTCTCCTCCTCTGTTCTTCCTTAGAGAGATTCCATCCATTCCTCTGACTTTAAATACTCTTTATATACTAATGACTTCTTTTTTTAAGGCTTGTTTATTTATGCATATAAGAACTGGGGTACAGGCCGGAGGTGTGGGGGGTGAGAGGATTCACCAGAGATAGAGTGGGGAACAGAACAGGCAGAAATACACTGCTGAGGGGAGCAGCAGGCGAGTCAGGAGGGGTCTGCTGTGCCATGTGGGTATCCTCCAGGCCAGGGGTTGAACTTGTGCTGCAGTGGCTGCGGATAGCCTCTTAGGTTGCATTTTAACCCCTTGCACCACCGGGGAGGCCCTATACTAATGACTTCTAAAGTCATGTGTCCAGATTAAACCTCCCTTCCCCTTGAGCTCCAGTAGCAGATAATGAGTAGCCCACATTACAACTCAAACTAAAAACATCCAGAACTAATTTTGCTCCCCCCATCCTTTTCCCTACTGGTTTTCATCAATTCAAGAAGTGAATAAACTCAGTTGTACATTTTCCCTGCTATCTGAAAATATAATGTTCTAACTTAGTAAGTTAGTTTTGGGGTCTGGAGACAATTTTTCCATATAAAGTAATACTAAGGGTTCCCAAAAAAATTGCCTACCCAAATCATACCACGTAGGAATGTTCTATTTTGGGATAGTAGGGCAAATCATACAAAAGCAGAATCCTGGCATATTTCTTTCCTTTACCTCATCAAAGTTGGCCACTCTTTCCTTTCAGGCTACTATGTACATGCCGGCATGCTTCCTACTAACTTTTTCCCAGTTTATCTTTTTTCTCTTCCACCAGATCCACCTTTTGCTTCCTTACAATCCATCCACCCAAGCATTTAGAATAATTTTTCAAGAATTTTGATCAGACTGTGATGCTTAACTTTTTAAAATTCTCCAAAGGCATACCTCGGTACTTCAAACAAAATCCTTACCCACTCCAAGGCCTGCCACAGTTAGTCTCCTGCCTCCCTCTTTAACTCTTTCTGATGTCCTCTTCTCCCTCACTCACTATGCTTCAGCAAGTATAGTCTTTCATTTCTTTTTATTTTTTATTTATTTTTTTTTCACTATTCTCTTTTTTTTTTTTTATAGAGGCATGTTTTTATTTATTTATTATATTTGTTTGTTTGTTTTGTTTATACATGCACTGGGTACAGTCAGAAGCGCGGGAGGGTGAGAGAATTCACCAGAGCCAGAGTGGGGAGCAGAGCAGGCAGAAGGACTGAAGTACACTGCTGAGGGGAGCAGCGGGTGGCAGGAGAGGTCTGTGCACCATGTGGGATCCTCCTCCGGTGGCCGGGGAGCAGCCGGGGATCGAACCGGCGCCGCAGAGGCCGCGGGCAGCTTTGCAACCCAGCGCTCAACCGCTGCGCCACCGGGGAGGCCCTCTTTTTATTTTTTAAAGATTTATTTACGCATACAAGAACTGGGGTATGGGCCAGAGGTGCGGGGTGAGAGGTTTCACCAGAGAAAGAGTAGGGAGTGGAACAGGTGGATCTACTGAAATATGCTGCTGAGGGGAGCAGTGGGCGAGTCAGGAGAGGTCTAGAGGTCTGCTGTGCCATGTGGGTAGCTCCCTGGCTGCCTGGGATAGAACTCGTGCTGCAGAGACTGTGGCTAGTTTCACAGTGTGGTGCTTAACCCCTTGTGCCACCAGGTTTTCCTTTCACGTCTTTGAAAATATTCTTGCAGCTCCCTCTGCTCAGAATGTTCTTTGCTACTGCTATTCCTCTTGTCTTTTAGATACTATTTCATTTTCACCTCTGCAGAAAGGATTTTTTTTTTTTAATTTATTTATTTATGCATGTGAAGGGTAAATGGTTTTCAGGCTTTTCTGCCCTTCACCATCAGGATTGCCCTGCCTGATGGGGGCACCTGCATTTTGTTACATTGTTATAGTTGTGTTTTTTACTTCTGTGGGCCATGACTGCAGTATTGGAATAGTCACCAAAAGAAACAGGCAGGAGAGAGAAGGGGAGAAAGCGCCCCAGGGAGCCCAGAGTGAAGACTTTCCGGGGGCTTCTGGAGGCCTACTGGCCTCCAGGCACCCCCGGGCCTCCTGCCTGCCATGTACCTGGTTGCTGCACTATAAGTAGAAGCTCAACAAAAGCCTGAGAAAGCCACTGAGGGCTGCAGAACTCTTCTTTACCTGTCCACTTGAATTCTCAGAAAACCAGCACTGTGCCCATCCTGCCCCTACAGCATATAAGAACTGGGGTACAGGCCAGAGGTGTGGAGGGATGAGAGGATTCACCAGAGACAGAGTGGGGAACAGAACAGGCAGATTGACAAATACACTGCTGAGGGGAACAGTGGGGTGAAACAGGAGAGGTCTGCTGTGCCATGTGGGTAGCTCCCCGGCTGGCCGGGGATCGAACTCATGCTGCAGAGGCTGCAGATTGCTTCATTGTGCGGCACTCAACCCCTTGCACCACCAGGGATGCCCTGCTATTGACTTCTTTTATGAAGTGTTTCACATCTTTTCATTACTTTGGCTGTCCCCTTTCTGCCTAATGCAAGGTCTTACCATCATATATACCCTGGATTATTCTAGTAGCCTTTCTCCTGGTCAGAGTACAAACTTTGAAGTCTACCTATACTGTGCTCAAATTCATACCTGGATTCAAAATGAGAAAAAGGGCAGATATGAAAAATACTGTCCAACCTGCCCTTCTAACCTGTGACCTGCCACTCCTGTATTGAAGCCTGCTCACACCAACCAGTTTGCCATCCCTACAGTGCATTTTTTTAAATAAATGGATACATCTATTCTTTAGATTTGTTCTCCATTTTCTTCACAGTTTCTTTTTAATCTCCATAGTATCTTTCATAATACTTGGCATTAGTAGATATCAGAAGTAGATATCAATTGTTTCTCAAATTTACTGTGGTGATAGGCCAATATCCCTTTAACTTGTCACGGAGCAATAATTGTATATAAAATGCAGTAAAAAATTAACTATCAGAAAATGAAATAGCAGTTTTCTGCCCACCTGCGTCTATGCAGGTGCCCCTTTTTTCCTTTTTCCTTTTCCTAATAATTCCTTTTAAAATGTAAAGAAAAAGAAAATAATACAAAACAGGAGCTCCAAATTACTGGATTCAGCAGAGCTGAATCGTTTTTAAAATTGATAGGAATGTTTCTAAATGTTTGCTCTTGATTTCTGTAGTTACCTCATCATGGACAAGTGAAAGTTTGTGCATTAGCACCGGTCTACAAACTTCATTCCGTGTCATGTTGGTTCATTGTACTTCATTTCAGCAACAGGATGCCATAAAGTCAAAGGGGATGCTGAGATTACTAGTGTAGGTAAGTGAAAGAATTAAGACACTAACAAGTCAGGAAGTTTGGTGGGTTCAGAATGTGTCCCTATAGAAATCATGGGACTTCAGCAGAAGTTGGTATAGTATTAGGAAAATCCCTTAAGATATGTTATATGCGGGAGTTTTCATTACCCTAATTTTTTTTTTTTTACTATTTTCTGGCTAGAAAAGGGAAGCTATACACTGCTAATTTGGATGAAGCCTTACTTTTTCTAAGAACAAGATCAGAGACTAAAATGGACTATTTAAGTATTTCAAAGTGTATGATTATCCAACATCATTTGCAACTAAGTGTGATAATGACACAGTCCCTGGTACCTCATACTGAAATAAATTACTTTTCGACAGACACATGCTCATGTTAACTCCATTCTTTTGAAAAACATCCTTGGTGGTGGGCTCAGAGAGATTTAATTGTCCTTATGTTCCTTAAATCTGTGACATAAATCGTGGGTCACCAGCTGGAGACAAAGAACTCTTCTGTTTGGTTTGACATTAGAGATTGATGATGCTTGACTAGACAAGTAGAAGGCCATCTTTTTAGTAATGCAGAAGAACAGAGCTCCCAATGGATATAAGAAATAGAAATCTGAGGCTTGACAAGGAAAGTGACAGCAATATTGCTAAATATTAGATGATTAAAAAAGGAGGGAAAAAAGCTTAGGCAAAAAAAAAAAAAAGAAGATGCTGACAATTACCTGCTAAACAAAAGGCAGGTATGACTCTTGATAAAGCAATGCATCTATTTAATAGTGACATACTAATGAAGCCATTTAATCTAAATGACCTAAAAGAACAGCAGAACCAATGATACAAACTTTAGAGATGACACTTAATAATTTATGTAAGTGATACATAAGATGATATCCTGACCAATCAGATTTTCTTCATTAATTTCCAAGATTGTAAGTCAAATGATGAAACTTTAGATAGAGTCTAAGTGAACAGAATCTTCTTATCAGGCTCTTGCAGGTAAAGGTTTTATATGTAACAGTATAATTCTTATTGAATAAAAAAAGGAAATGAATAAAATTTCAAAATATCAGCTTTGACTTACCCAAATGGATCACCAACCACAAGGAATGCAACATCACTAACATTGGCATCCTTTAAAATATTATCTGCTTCTTGTTCCACTTCCTCTCTATCAGCAAGAATCAATTTTCTTCCATAAAACTCTTCCTATAGATTTAAGTCCAAGATAAAAATGAAACAGCAGGTAAACATTTCAAAACACACACACACACACACACACACACACACCCCACCCCTCAATCTGTCTGGAGCGGGTGCAACTCTTGGCAATCATCCAAACAGATCACTGAATTCAACTCATCAATGAGCTAGCACTCTATATCATGTTGCAATTAAACTGTGTCTTTGGGGCTATCTGAATATCCCAAGAGGAGGTAGACCTTCTAACATCTGAGGCTTTTTGCATTTTAAATTTACCTTTAATTTTGGGCCTAACAGGCCAGGCAGAACATTGTAGAATGAACAGAGAAAATAATGTATGCACGAGCTTTACTTCAGAAATGCAGAATACAGAATAAATATAATAATTATAATGCACATGGTAGTTTGGGTTTTGATACATTTTCCATAGGAAAATCTATAGGACCCAAAGGTAATTTCAATGAGAAATAATAGAAAATAAAGATAGTTGTTCATAGAACCAGCAAACATTCTTTTATAATTGCAGGAAAGACTAATTTAAAACTGTATTTCCTAGTTCCTGCTAAAAAGGCAAAGTTGCAGAGAAAAGAAAAGAATTATAAATAAATATGAAGTCTCTGTACAAACTGCTTTGGAAACTAATCCCCTGGAGATCACCTCTAAAGAAAAATGCAGGAGGCTGACTTTAGAGCAGCAGCAGGTAAGTAAGGAGTGGAAGATAGTGTGGGTTATGTGATAGAGGTTACAAGCTATTATGTGGGATCTAGAATCTTATAACTGATTTCCTGCAGAGTAATTCAAATAAGTAAAAGTGCATGAATGCAAAGATAAATAATAACATTCCTTATATATTAAGAAGTTTGTTTGAATCATAAGGATTGCTATAATAATGGCAGCATATCTGGCACTTAACATTTGTCAAGCAAATGAGTGAATCACCAAATGATTAGGATAAAGGCTATAGTTCCAAATCTGGCATTTATTTCTGGAGACTTAACTAGAATCTGTTCTTGAAATATGAAAAAGATCTCATCCTTTTCTCGGCATATCTTCTTGAAGATATGTTCCAAAAGTTTCCAATGACAATGATTCTATAGACAAAGTGTCCTTTTATTTTCACTTTACTATATATATTCTTAATCATTAAATATATTTTTCTTCATAAGTATGTGAACATATCTAAATGTTTCCTTCAGTTAAAGAAACAATGTATTTTTTCAGAACTTCTAACATAACTGAATTTGTAACTTTTTTTTTTTGGTGGGACTCTTGCTGGCTGCCAGGGAATGGCTGCGGGCAGCCTCGCAGCCCAGGGCTCAACCACTGCACTACCAGGGGAGGCCCCATATCTTTTTTTTAATTGATTTTTATTTATTTATGCATACAAGAACTGGGGTGTAGCCCAGGGGTCGGGGTGGGGGTGAGAGGATTCACTAGAGAGAGTGGGGAGCAGAACAGGCAGATCTACTGAAATACACTGTTGAGGGGAACAACAGGCAAGACAGGAGAGGTCTGCTGCGCCATGTGGGTCACCTCCCTGGCCAGGGATTGAACTCATTCAACAGTAAGTGGCTGGTGATAGTTGATGGCACTGAGACTTTAACCTCTATGCCACCAAAGAGGTCCAACTTGTAACAGTTCTTAAAGATCAATAAGCACATGCTAGTAGTTGAATGCCAGCAATAATCTTAGCTGATTATTTTATAAATAATATAACAGAAAGCCCTACCCTAAAAACATATATCATATCTAATTTATGATATTTATTAATTTATCACTTAATCCTAACCTAAGATAATTTCATTATCTAATTAGAAATAGGCTGTTAGTCAAAAATCTCCTTTAAAGAGAAATACACATACGAATACTCCAGTATAATCTCAAAGCTGATCCTCTTGAAATTTTTGTTTAAAAAAAAAAAGGGCGGGAAGTGATAGCAAAAGCAGTAAGAGACTTACAATGCATTGTTTTTAATTTACCCACTTGTTCACTCACTCAAAAAAAATTTCTTGTGTACAGTCACCATGCAAACACTATACTTGATGTTGGAAAACGGAGGTAAATGAGATTTCATGGCTCCTGCCCTGTGGACCACAGTGTCCAGAAGGGAATTAACTACCACAATATATCTGCTGTAAGAATATCAAACATACTAAGGGACAGGGAAGGAAAATAATAAAAAACAAGCATGCCATTTAACAAATGATACAAATTTATGTTGTCTATTATCCAATGGCTGATCGGCCAATCTGGTTTTATATTCTCAGTCCTAATCTCCATTTATGAAAGTGATGGTAAAACTCATTCTTATTTTAAAGTCAGCAGGTTTATTCATGGGAGAAAGGTAAAAAAATAAATTAAAATTACTTTTGGATATTTCTGGGAGGATATACAAAAAATTAGTAAAGATTGCCTCCAGGAAAGAGAACTTTGATTGAAATATTTCAATGTGTGTATCTTTTAGTTCTTTTGAATTTCAAACCATTTGATGTATTAGAAAAGTAGAGGTTCAAAGTAGTATGTGACAACAAATGAGAAAATAAGTTCTTTTTAAAAACCACGAACATTTAAACAAGGAACAGAGAAATGAGCTTACAAAGGGAACTGAGAAAAATGGAATCGTAGGAATAAAACTAGTTTCAAGCTAGTGTCAAAAGATGTAAAACAGATCAATTAAACCACCCTCTGGAGTTCTCAGCTACTAAATAATTATTCAACAGACAAATAGTTCAGAGGAATGGAAGCTGATCTATTAGCATCTAAGACATGAGTGGAAGTGAAGCTAACAAAAGTAAACTCTTTTTCAAAAAATTTTTGGATAAAGAGTAACAGAATAATAACTGTGGAAAAAAGACACTTTTTAAAAAGAGAAGAGTTTTCAGAATGGACAATGTGTACTGAATATGGCATCAGGCTGAAGGAAGAAGGGTATTAATGTAGCTCAAACACAAAGAAGAAAGTAATGTTCCTGAGGTAGGAAGAAAAGGTTTAAGGCAGTAGCCTTAAATGGGAAGAGAACCTCGGATTAATTTTCCAGTAAAAATTATTTTGCCTCTAAAGCTTTTCCGGTATTTGCCATTTTTACAAATATTTAGGCTTCACTCTTTCTATAATGACTTTCATGCTTCAATCCCATTCCTTTTATGCAAGGGTAACGCTCTGGGCTGTCTTCTCTCTCTGACTTCCTTCATGCGTCTCCACTTCTACTCCATAGTAGAAAGCTCAGTCAGGCAAATTCAATGATTCAGTCACTTCAAGCTTCAAGCTATTCCCATTCAGGAATTTTCCCATCCACAAAAATACGTCTAAGAGGCAACAATAGGCTTTCTCACTCCTTCCTTTGCTGGCTCACTTGTTCTGACTGGAAGATAATGGCTGTTCAGAGGTGGGTTTTTTTCCCCCCATAGGTCACTTTTTTGTTCCAATCAGACTTAGAAACTTACATAAAGGGAAAGCAGGGAGGGAGGGACCACTAGAGGGTAAGGCAGAGGAAGAGAGGCAGGAAAGAAGGAAGGCAGGAAGTGGTTAAAGAGAAAGTGGCTTTGAGATTTTATTGGACAATATAAGCATTAATTTATTTAGACCTTAATTTATTCCAAAAATGATTCATTAAGATGGCTGCTGTTGTATAGCAAGCTGCTCAAGAAAGAACACGAACTAAGGACTAATATATATAGGTCATAGATAGTAGAGACCAAAAGAATTTTGTGAGACAGCAGGATCCAGGATTGACTACTTTGCTTGAATCCTAATCCTATCTTCTCTGTAGTTCCCTGATTTTGTGAAGCTGTTATCTTTCTCTAAGAATACAGAGACACAATACAATACAATTCTCTAAGAATGCAGAGTGGTGAACTGCAATTCGAGCAGACTTGGCTCATATTTTGGCTCTATCACTCACTCCCTATATGACCTTGGGGAAGTTTCATTGTGCCTCTAAAATGTGAACTACAATTACAGAGCAATAATCATGTCGTATATGGGAAGCATTTAAAATAGTACATAGTAAGTACTGTGTAAATACTAATACCTATCATTGTGGAGGAACGGATATTCTAACACCTTAACAAGGTATACACGGTTTACTTGTAGGTGAAGTTGGGCCCAGCCCCAGATGTTGCCTAACGATTTTTTTTTTTAAGATCTATTTATTTATTTATTTATACAAGAGCCCGGGTACTGGCCAGATGTGCAGGAGGGTGAGAGAATTCACCAGAGCGGGGAACAGAACAGGCAGACTGACGAAATACACTGCTGAGGGGAGCAGCGGCGCGACAGGAGAGGTCTGCAGCGCCATGTGGGACCCTCGCAGGCCAGCAGGGATCAAACTGGCGCTGCAGAGGCTGTGGACAGCTTCACAGCGCGGCGCTCAAGGGAGGCCCTGTCTAACGATGTTTTTGGAAAAATAAAAATAGTTTAAAAAATTATAGTAACTAAAATTAAAATTTAGCTGGTACTTAAAATTTTAAGCACTTTCAAATAAGTCATCTTAACATTAGACACAACTTTCATTTCAATGCATGGCAAATTCAAGAAGCAGTCCTTAATTCTTTCTTTAAGATTTTATTATTTTTTTTAATGTGCCTTCTTTAAGATTTTAAAAGATTTTAAAGTAATTAAGAGACCTTCAGAATTCTCTGGGCTGTGAATCTAAGAGGGCAAACCTTAAATCCTCTAGATCACCTCTGGGTTTGGAAGACTTCATATATGAATTTTAAAATCCACTCCCTCTCCCTATATCCTTCAGTCTTTTCATTTAACTTATGTTTTATGGGGATTTGACAAAGAACTTGAACTTGACCCTCCTTCCAAAATGTACTGAACCTTTAATGAGTCTGCTAAATGTATCATACACTAACAATCTTAAGGTTATTAAGTCCCAGGTTCACTTGACATATACAAGTGTATGAGTGTAAGCTTTACTGGGAGATGTTTATTCAAAGATAAGACCTCTCTCGATATGATGCAGACAGAAAGGAGATTATCATTCCCTATGGAAATACTTCAAAGGGAGAAGGTTCCAGCTTGGTTTCTGAATACATAACCAACTCATTAAGGCTGTGTCAGAAGCTCATTAGCACTCAACTCAGAAAGGATTTCTTGGCTATCTCATGAAATAAGGGATTTTGATAACTATCCCCAGGAGCGTAAAATAACTTTCCTATTTACCAGAAAAGCCACAAAATTAGACTTGTAAAGTAAGACAAAGCACTTTCATTTTCCCAGTCACTTGGCACACGATTTCCATCCTTGCACCCCTCAGATCCTTAATGAGCAGGGGGTGTGATTTAAAGGACTTGAACAGGCAAGATCGGAAAATTCGGTTCAACTTAGTGTAACAAAAACCGGCTGTTAGATAGCTCTCTGTTCTGGAAGCCGAAGAACCTTAAGCACCTACCAGGACTTCCTTCCCTACAGTGAGGATTGAGGTATAGGCTTCCAGATACACTCGATCGCAGCGTCTTACAACTTCCAGACCCTTGACAGTGATGTCCTTGGCATCTCCCAGGCCCAAGCCGATCAGGTAAAGCATTTCAAAATCCGGGGGGAAGGGAGACTGCAAGATGAAGTGGAAAACAAGAGCATGTGTCAGCTACACCCGGAACACCTACAATCGAGGGATGATCACGAAAACAAAAAACCTAAGGAGCACGAGGAGGGGCAACCTGTCAGAGGCGTGAGGTTGGGGGACCTCATTTCATGCTTCTGGAGTAACAGTCAGAACAAGTGTTTCCACACACCCCCACCCCGCCTGCTCCTGGTTACACGAACCTAGCTGCAGTGGACGACCCGCTGAGGGAATCGTAATAGGGACCTTTGATCTCCCCTAAGGTTAACTACAGGCTTTCGCAGAAGCAGCAGAAGCAGCAGCGTCTGGCAACCCGGAAGCACGCACGCCGCGGCCTCCACGCGGTGCCGCAAAACGCCGCGAGTCGGCTGCGCTTTACGACCCGCGTAGCTTAAGGGCGGAAGGGCGGGCGGAAGAGCGGGCGGAAGAGCGGGCGGAAGGGCGGGCGGCGGGCGGGGCGAGGCGAGACGCGACCCCCTGGGGCAGCGAGGCGAAAGGTCACTCGGCCGGGAGGAGTCGGCCCAGAGACCCCCAGCGTGGCCTCTAGGAGACGCCGCGGCCTCAGCCCAGGGCATGTCTCCCACCCTGCGACTAGGTGAGTCTCAAGGCCGCCGCGCGGCGGGGCGGACCCGAGGTTGGGCCGCCGAGTCCCCTGGATCGGGGAGATTCCCACGCCTGGCGCCTCCGCCGGTCCAGACACGCGAGGTTTTGGGGGGCGGGGATAGGGACAGGGGAGCAGGTAGGCGGGACCTCTCTAAATTTGCCCGGGATTGTGCTAGTACGCAGATTTCCATCTTCGCCTTTTCGTTCCACTGTAGTTTATTTAAGCAGCTGCCTACCCGGTGAGGAGGGTGGTTGTGATTTCCCAGGGGGGCAGTGATTACTCGGTGTCCCCAATATCTCTGGGAGGTCTCCAAGGGGTGTGTGCGCCTGGGATTGATTGGTCTTGGTCGCCCGCACTGTCGGGAAGTCCAGACCCGCCTGTGCCTAAGAAGTGACCTTTAAGAGTACCCAGGGGTTTCTGACCTCTCCCTGATTGCATCTACCGGGGGAATTTTTCTGAAGTGCTTGGTTAGAAGTAGTTTCACTACGGGGGGGCGGGGAGGGTGAGGAGGGAGTGGGATCAAAATTAGGGGGGTGGGAATTGTATGGGGAATATAACCAAGATGAAAATGCATACATTGTGCAAAAATGAAAAATGATGTAAAAATATATAAAACAAAAAAATAAAAAATAACACTCCCCCCTACCCCCAAAAAAGTAGTTTCCCTGTAGGAACGACTTTGTTTGTAAATGCTCTTCTCGGAATGGTTTGTGAAAATGCTCTTCAAATCACCAGTGACCTCATCTCAATTAAACAGACAATTTCCGTTGCTTTTCATAGTAGACAGTGTTGGATGTCCCTGGTACTTATCCAACAATTACTTGTGTCGTTTTTTGCCCACTCCCACCTCTGTAAGCCTGGGTTTTATGTTTTCTTCTGTAGTTCCATCCACTTTTTTCATGTCTCATCCTAAACGCTCTTCTTGGTGGATTCTCTCCACTCTCTTCACAGTGTCGTATTCGTTACACCATGAACAAAAACTGGATATGGATTGAAATAGAAAATCCTAAACTATGAAATGTGCAAGGGGAAAATTTGTGACTTTATATTTAGGCAAAGATTTGTTAGGTGCAAAATCAAAAAGCATTGGTGCTCAAAAGAAATGGATAAATTGGACTTCAACAAAATAAAAAGGTGTGCTTTTCAAAAGACAACTGGAAAACTGCACACTGGTAGAAAATCTTTTTAAAGCTGTCTGGTAAAGGATTTGAATCAAGACTATATAAAGAACTCTAAAAATACAATAAAGTAATTTTGGAAATAGGTTAAAAAAACAAACATATCCCCAAAGAAAGTATATGAGTAGCAAATAAGTATTTGAAAAGATGCTAAATGCCCTTAGATATTAGGGAAATAAAAATTAAAACTGCAAGGACATACCATTACGTACCTTTGAGGATTGTCCAAAATAAAAAATAAAAAACCTTGACTATTCATCCTCATAATTTCAGGTATTTCTAAGACTTTGTTCAAATTTCAGCCTCCCTTTCAGATGTCTCCCGTAGCTTCCTATATTTAACTTTCAACTGAAAATCTTTCATATAAACCAAGAGGCATTCCAGATTCAACACACCCAAAACACTGACTCCATCTTTTCCTTTCAACTTGGCTTTTCCTTCTATATTATATCTACTTTGGAAGGCATTGTCATCTGTATACTCTCATCCAAACCAGATACTTGGCAGTCACCCCACATTCTGTCTGACATATCTCTCAGTTTCTCTGTAGAAACCACACTGCCCATCACAACATTTGTTTGGTTCTGGTCTTCATTATGTCACCCCTGTAGTCACCCTCACATTCATCCCTTTCTCAGGGGCCAGAGAGCAAGCATCTGGCTCACATACAGTCTGCAGACATCATTCTCCGGAAAATCCCTTTTTAATCAAGAGAAATTCCAGGTTCCTTATATCCCACAAGGTCATCCATTGTGTGACCGCTGTGTTCTTCTAGCTTTATTTCTCACCATTCCATACCATGAGGTTTTTCTCTATCAGTATTGTTCTGAGCCCACAACATGATGCTTTGTGCCTCTATGCCTTTAGTCCAGCTGCCACCACATCATGAACTATTCTTTTCCATTCTCTGCACATCAGTGTTACTCTTTAAGACTTAAGTTTAGGAAGCCTTCCCAAAGAGCCTTGAATTAGGTTAGGTATCTCCTTCTTATTACAATCATACTCCATGCATTTACCAGTTAGTCTGTTGTAATTGTCCATTTGTATGTCCTCTTTCCCAAACCATCAATTTCCTGAAGTCAGGGACTGTATCTCATTCATAGACTCACCCCTATAGCGCATATAGAAGGTACTCAATAAGTGCTGAATAGATCACTTTGTATCTGTAGTATCTAAACAGTATCTTTGAGTTATGATCCGTTTTTCTATCTCTGTGACATGTAGGGAGTGATGCGTTTTAGATAACTACCAAAAAGTCATGTAGAAATATCAAACATAGCAGACCTTGCACTTACCACTTAAAAAGTCGTTTATGCTGAAAGGCTTAGGACACATCACGTATACTGCATATGCACATTAGTTATTTTTTATGGGTATTTTTTGTTTGTTTCAGATTTTCTTTGAATAATTTCAGGTAGATTCACAGTGAAAGGGCATTGCTAAAAATTAACCTAAGGGAAGATGTTCATTTTCTCCAAGAATTACCTATACTGAAAGAGAAGTTGTCTTGAGTAGGTAAGGAAATACTATGTTTTTCAGTACAGAAGTAATTTTATTTCTCTTCAGAAAGTAATTTCTCTTCAGAAGTCATTCCAAAGAAGTTACTTTTGCTATATAATTCTTAACAAACCAACCAACCTTTCCGCCTGCTTTCATTTCAATAGGACTTTACATTTTGGGAATTTTTGTGAAATTAGATAACTGTCATAGCATTTATCTCTAACTCACAAACAGAGTTAGAGATAAATCTGTTTTTCCTCTCTAACTCAACAAATAGAAGTAGAAAAGTCTTGCCTAGTCTTTTTATGCATACAAGAGCTGGGATGTAGGCCAGAGGTGCAGCGGGTGAGAGGATTCACCAGAGTCAGAGAGGGGAGCAGAACAGGCAGATCTACTGAAATCCACTGCTGAGGGGAGCAGCGAAACAGGAGAGGTCTGCTGCACTATGTGGGTCACCTCCCTGGCGGGGAATCAAACTCTTGCTGCAGTAGCTGCTGATAGCTTCATAGCATTAAGATTTAACCTTTTTTGTAGTATTATTTTGTGGGACTTGAATATTTCACCAGTAAAAACAGCTTTTCATTAAAAATGTTCAACATCACTTGTAATCAGGGAAATGCAAATCAAAACTATGTGAGATACCATCTTACACAAGTGAGAATGGTATATATTAAAAAAATTAGCAACAACAAATTTTGGTGAGGTTGTGGAGAAAAAGGAACTCTCCTGCACTGTTGGTGGGAGTGCAAACTGGTCCAACCACCATGGAGAGCTGTGTGGAGATTTCTGGACCTACTAAACATAGAGCTTCCACATGATCCAGCAATTCCACTCCTGGGTATTTACCCAAAGGACACAGAATCACTAATTCAAAAGGGCACCTGCACCCCTATGTTTATAGCAGCACTATTTACAATAGCTAAGCTTTGGAAACAACCCAAATGCCCAAAAATAGATGACTGGATCAGGAAGATGTGGTACATATACACCATGAAATATTACTCAGCATTCAAAAAAGATAAACACATGCGATTTGCAGCAACATGTATGGTGCTGGAAGGGATCATGCTCAGCAAAATAAGCCAGAAAGAAAAAGGAAAATACCGGATGGTCTCACTCATAGCAGGAATCTAGAAAACTTAAATAAGGACCAGGAAAATGAATAACTATAAGAAAGAAAATATAAAAATCAACAAACAACTATAAACTAGAGACGCTCTATGGGGGGTGGGGCGTGGGGAAAGGAGGGCTTGGGGTCAAAATAAGGGGGTTGTAATTGTATGGGGAATATAAAAATAAAATTTAAATTAAAAAAAGAATTTGGATTTAGTCCAAAAAAATAAATAAAAACAGCTTTTCATTTATTATTGCATTTCCCCTAACAATTTATTATTAAAAATTTCAACTAAAAAAATTGAAACAATTTTTTTGTAAATCCCTATATAGCCAGTTTCTGGGTTCTCCAGTTGTTAATCCAGTTGCTGGATTTACTTTTCTCACATTTTATTGTTTGATGCACATCTAAGGGATTGTAGGCATAAGTATATGTGATTGCATTATGTTACCTTCATCCAGGTAACAGATTAACAAACATACCTAAGCATATAGCTGAAATATCATTTCTGCACCTGATTTAGGTGGGCTTTGAGATAGATCTTTTAAAAATTTCAAACTAGTTTTTAGTCAAAATTGGGGAATTATTTTAAATACATATTTATTTATAATGTCCTAACTAAAATCTCATATCTAGCAGAGAGGGGTAGTTATGGAGAAAAGTGATTCAAGGGGAATATAAAAAGGATGTAGTCAAAATGTTTTTAGTTTAAAGAACAGAGAGAATAGATAAGGCCTGAGGAGTTTAAACTTACTTTATATTCCTGATTTCAGGTACGATGATCCCAAGCCATCCCTGAAAGATCTTTACCCAAAAGATCTTTAAGAAGTGTTTATAGCTTTGGCAGTAATTCTTTTCAGTACTCTCACTATCAGAAGTTCTTTTTCCTGTCTTATCAGAGACCTTCAAGTGATAATCATA